ACCCTATTTTATCAGCGAGGAGCGTCTGCCTTCCCCTGCTCCCCTTGGTCTCTGAATAATTCATTTGAGGTCACCTTTGCCAAAAGGCCCTCCTTCCTTCCCAGGGGTCCCAAGACGATGGCCCCATAATGAGCGCTAGGCACTCCTCACCCACACACAGAATGAGCACGATTTTTTTGGGGGCGACTAGGTGGAGATGGAAAGCGTCAACAAGACGCGCGTTTGTGGGTGATGTTCGGAACCTTACTACAGCTAGGTATCTAGAGCCTGATTGATCAAGAGGACATGATTGGTACATGATTTAGCGTACTATTCGGACCCGCTTTTGCATACATTAAAATTAAATTTAAGGTTGAGACTGGCGTGCAGATATTTTGAACATTTTGTAGAATGGCGAGAATTTTCCGTTTTTAAGGTCTTGTTTAGATACTTTTAAATAACTTCCAGAATGCTTTTTGAACTCCTGATTTCAGGACTGTGTGGGCGATTCTTATCAGAATTCACCCGTGGGTAAACACCTCTGAATCTGATGGAATACAAAAGAAAAATATTTTGACGCCATTGACGCCGCTGCCATTGACGTGAAAAACAAGCATCAAGAAAATGTTCTAAACGATTTCTGTTGAATGTGATTCCTTTTTTAGCTCGAATTTTGTATTTTTGTCGTTTCCTTTGTTTTTGGGTTATTGTGGCTTAATTAGCGGGTTTCCCTACAAAAGATTCGGCCTAAAAACGACACGGCCTCTAGTCATTGAAAATTCGCTAAATGACCACATTTTTAACAACTTTTTAGGCCTGGACCTGCGCTTTCTTTATTTTTTTTTGAAAGGTTTAGAGGTTCGTTACCAAATAGACAAGCTCAAAAATTTAAAAATTACGTAAAACATAATTTTAGAAAGCAAGAAAGCGTGAACAATTTTAGAAAATTTAGGTTAGTTATAAAATCGAAACTTTTCCAGCTGATCCATTTCCCAAGAATCCATGCTAAATCGCCACCAAAATTTAAAAAATGCAAAAGCTAGCTCCTCCTTGTTTTTCCAACCATTCTCAAAAAATGGTGCCCACCCCACCCTCCAAATATTTGTTTTTTTTGTGTCTTGGTGGCACAAATCCCTGGGTGTCTTCACAGCCCCCTCGGCACTCAACGACATTTGTTTGTAAGCGGGAGGGATCCATTCGTCCGGATGGTCCCGTAACGCGCTTCTTCTCTCGCACGCGCGCCCGTGAGCGCTTGCCCAACGACAATGGCCCCCATTGGATGGATAGTCCGCGACAGTCCGCTTGACGCCTTCCGGACCCTCGTGAAGCACGCACGGCTCCTTTTTCGGCCACTTTTTGTGTCCTTAGTTTCCTCGAGGCGCGCGTCTAACACCGCAAAGGTCTTCCAAAGACCAGCTTCTGGCAACAGTCACATGTATGTAGGTGGGGGGGGGGGACAGTTGTTTCATGGCACTTTCGTAAGGGCATCAGGCAGGTACTTCCTGATCCTAAGAAATTTCTGCTAGTTTGCGTAGATGGTAATTCACTCTTCCCTTTCTTGATCTCCATTTTAAAGAATCTTTGCTAGATTGCCTAAATAACTGAATTTGTTTATTGGCTTACTATTTGATAACTTTTCGCTTTTTGATCTAAATTTTAAAGAAACTCTATTACGATGCCTAGAAAACGGTATGGCCCTGAATACGGTATCTCCATTTCTTTAAGAATTTGTGCTAGCTCACCTAGAATAAAATCTGCTTAAATTGCTCAACGGCTTTGCTTTCAATTTTTTTAACTATTCAACCAGGGTTGAAACGCCGCTACGCGGCTTTTCACCCCTGGTCCCGTCTAGGGCCCATGATGGCTCCACTTTGCATAATTCCACCCCGCCTCTGCCCCGAATAAAAAATGAAGTGCAATGGCTTTCCCCCCTTTATATAGGCTCCCAGCGCTTCCGGCGTATCCTAATTGATTTCTAACAAAGAGGTTGAGCGAGATTTTAACAAAAACCTATTTTTAATATCGAAAACAGCTGATTTTCAAAAACCTCATATGTGTGCAGTCGTGTCATGACCATTACACTCCTAATGACGTATCATACGTACCCCTAACGGTACTTCCTTTCTTCAGAGATACGACTGGAACCATACGGACGGAAGTTGCATGTAAATGCACACACACGCACACACATACAAACACTATTTTTTTATATATAGAGGATGTTTTCGGCCTTAAAAGTGTCCTCAAAAAAATCACTGCTATTGCCTTGAACTGCAGGTTGTTAAAACTTGTGTATTAAAGTTTTGATCTTGAGAAGCGCTTTCGGTTGCCCGTTTCCTCACGTTTCCGCCATATATTTTTTGCGTGTTTGGGTCATTGCCCAAGTGTCCCATGCGCACTTATCCACGCGCCATGTCAGGAGCATATTCCCCCGCGAAAAACAAAGCTAAATCGCGCTTTTCCGTTTCTGGCTTTCTCTCTCTCTCTCTCTCTCTCACTCTCTCTCTCTCTCTCTCGCGCTGATGCTCTTAGGTCCCAGGGCCCTTATTTATTTGGGTGGGCCCCTTCTCTACCTCATGGGCTTTTATGGCACTTTGGCCAGGGTGAAAAGGCGCGTCCTTTCCTTTGCTCGGGATATCCCTCTTCTTCTTATACGGGTCTTCCCCTCTTTTGCCTACGAATTATGGCGCTATCTGAAGAGAAGCGGGGGAGGATTTACGCCTTGCAAAGAGTACTGACGTGGATCTGGAGGTCGTAAATAGAATTTGCATGTTGCTGAAGCTGTTATTTTCGTTTTTATAGCTATAAAGGCGGTTCGAATTTTGAAAACGCCGTTGAATAGCCGTTAACGGTTTTGCTTCAGGTCTGGTTTAAATGAGGTTTTCCTAAAGTGGTTTGCTAGATTTTGTTCTTTATTTTTTTCTGCGGGATGCGTCGTCTTCTGTTTTTACGAGAGAATGCGGGGAGCGTGAGGTTAAGGTTTCTTTCACTAATTCATGTCCAGACCTCTTGAAATTCATTTAATCATGTCTACGGTACCTGATATGCAAGTTTTTCCGCTAAATTCCCCTTCCACGACCCTTTTAAAGACCCATAAAATTCCAATATTATTTCTCCCCCTCCCCTCTCCTCACCCGGTTATGATGCGTTCCCCCCAGCTGGGGGGTGATTGATGAAGATGGTTGACGCTATTTTTAATGCATTGTGGTGGTGTGTAAGGGGAAGGGTTGCTAGTGTTTTCTTCTTATTCTTAGCTACTACAAAATTTTGGAACTCTTTCTCCCCCTCTCTCGCTCTCTTTTCTCTCTCTCTCTCTCTTTCTCTCTCTCGCTCTCTTTCCCTCTCTCTTTCTCTCTCTCTCTATCTCTCTCTCTCTCTCGATCACTCGCTCTCCCATTATGCCTTCCATTTCCAATCAAAACATCTCGGTTCCGGGTCCAAATCGATCCCTTCATCGAACTAAACACCCGCCGCCTGTTTTTCTTTTCTTCTCCGATCCACCTCCTGCTCCTCCACCCGTTTTGTCATTTTCTTGCCCCACCCTTCAATCCCCCTCAAGTCAGGGGTGAACACACGGTTTCTCTTTTCGATGAGACCGTAACACCCCTTTCTGTCTGCGCCAAATTACCCCATCGCCTACTCTCCCACAACCTCTGAATCATCAACCCCTCCCCATCCACATTTGGCCACCAGCAGCTGGGAACGGTCTTTCGACATTGGGTTTTTGGATTTGGATCATCTTGAGTTAAGTTTGTGATTGCAGACTGGCTCGAATTTTCGCCACATAATCGATTAAACCCGGAGTGCCTAACACTAATCAAAAGTATGGCGATTTTTTTTGCTAAACTCGATGGCTTTCAAATGGTTTCGGCCGGCTTTGTCTTTACACAAAATTTCTGATCGAAGGCAGAAACGCGATTTTCATGTCGCAATCGATTGATTTGTGGGCGTACTAATGACAAGTAGGGAATTTGTATTAAGCGTCATTCGCGTTCCACTATCGTCGCTCTCTCGCTCTCGCTCTCTCTCTCTCCCTGTCTCCCACCTCGACCGATTCTCTGGTTTACTTTTTCACAAACTGGCTCTATCGCTCCCTCTCTAACTTTTGATACCTTGAAAATACTGATTTTTGTAAACCCGAGTTTCAAGACAATCTTTTAACTTTTCGGAAACTCGTGATACCGACCCCAAATCGAACTTGCGAAATTTATCAGTTCCCGTCTTTTGAGCTGTGTAGCCGACTACTAAATGATAAGGCAACTGGAACCGCCGGCCACCTAAAAACCCGGTTTTGCTTCGTTTCTAATACGCTAGACATATTATTTTATTTCAAAGACGCTAGACTTCCTTGGACTTCTGTACCCCTACCCTAACCTTTTTGGGTTCCCGCCAATTTCCCCCTTCTGGGGCATCAAAAGCCCCCAAAAACCCCGGCTTCCTTCGTTGGTAACAAAAAATTAATTGGAAAATGTTGCCTCAGCCTAGGGAAGCAGGAAGCAAGAGAAAATTCTGGCTGCAACTACGACCTAGTATAAAAGGTCGGGTTTCGGGACGAAAATCCGTTTTGCAAGCTATGAATTTGACTTCAGTAAGCCTTTAAAGACGTTTAGGGTGTTTTTATAGCTCGGGAATTGTAATCTATAATTTTTGGTGCCTTGTTTTTGCCCTAAATGGCAATCAGTTACCAAAAATGTCTATTTTTCGGGTTGAGCTTCTCCCTCCTGCCTCCCTCCTCCCACGGGGTGTTTATCTGATTTTCAGCCGGCTGCCCGATTTGGGATTGATTTTTTTGAGGTTTGAGAAATGTGACTAGCTCATGTTTATATTACCAGATTCGAACGTCATCAAGCCGTTCGTTTCGCAGTTTACAGCTTTCTATGCCAGGAATCTCTTCTAGCGTGCATTAATTCTTTTCTGTTTTAAATTTCAATTTTTCAATTCCCAGAGCAATTTGTTTTCACTTCATTTTGCTGTTCTTGGCATTCGTTTTAAAAACCTATAATTTCATCTACTTTCAGAAAATGGTCTACGGCTGCGGGAATCGATGCGTGAAGCTGCTCTTCTTCCTCGTCAACCTCCTAATTTGCATCTTCGGGGCCCTGGTCTTCGGTTTCTCGCTATGGGCCAACATTGACAAGAATTTCTCCCAACACCTCTCCGATTTCATAAAAAATATCGATCAGGGCAAGGAGCACCATATTGATGATATTGCTAAGGTAATTCGGGCTCGCAAAAATTAATTTTTTGCATGATAATTGATTAAATTAGTTTTTAATGTAAAAACAAATAATTTCGAAAATAAATAATTTTTCAGTACCAAGCCAGTCTCTGGGTACTCGTCGGTGTCGGCATTATCCTATTCATGGTCGGATTCCTGGGATGCTGCGGAGCTGCCTGTGAGAGCCCCGTCTTGCTGTCGCTGGTAAGCTACTCTTTCTGTAATGGAGATACCTCTTTACCCCTACATTCTGGCTATAATAGGCTATATTTTTCAGTTCTTCTTCATCGTCGTCATCTGCACTATCCTCGAGCTGGCCGCCACCATCTTTGCCCTCGTGAACAAAGAGAAATTTGTATCTTCACTTGGACAGGTAAGAGAGAGAGAAAGAGAAAAAGAGAGAGAGAGAGAGAGCGAGCGAGAGAGACGCACGAAGAATTAAATTGTTATAATTCGCTTCCTAGGTAATGGACAAGTGCGGTTCCGAGGCACAACTCCGCCCGGCCCTCAAGCCCATCCAGGAGGTGTTCCACTGCTGCGGAGCCACCGCCGCCACCAAGCAGCTGTTCATCGACGAGGGATTCTGCCCTGGTGCTTTGGCGCAGAAGGTGATTCTTGAATCATATATTGGGCGCCTTAAGCTACACATTTCTGCTAGGAGTTCAACTCCTGAGACCTATCGCAGTGGAAATCTAGAAAAATCTCACCATTAAACGTATTTTCAGTCCGATTGCTTCGACGTTCTACAGCGTGAAATCGAAGAATCTGGCGAGACCATCGTCGTCATCGCCTTCATCCTAGTGGCTGTGCAAATCGCGTCACTGTTCTTCTCGTGTGTCCTTTGCAGGGCTTCTCGTGAAGTCCGATACGCCGGATATTATGCTTAAATAACGTAAATATAGTTTTTTAAGGGGTTTAAAGGGACTGCGACAGCAAAATCCAGCAACCACCCACCTGACAGTCCTCTTATACATTTCTGTAATTTTCTAGAAGGTCTTATTACAAAATTTTTGGCTTCCCGGTCCCTTTAAATCCGAATAAGCGCGATTTTCCGATTTTCCCTACTATCCAGTCTCCTCTACTACGAGGTCACAAAATAGCAACGTAACAGCAAAAACTAGCATCGAACTTTGCTGCTCAACCCGAGAAACGTAGATTAATATATTTGAAGCCATTTGTTTTTGAACGCTCTAAACTTCAATGGTCCTTTAAAAACTACTATTTTTGTCCTTTGTTCCCATTTTCCAGGCATTTCCCCCGTCCCCATGACCTCAAAAAGAGATGAAAGTTTTTTGGAACTGCGGTCATATCTATATTTGTGTAGTTTGTACTCTGAATTTTTTGAACTTTTATTTTCAGTTTTTTACACCCTCCCCCAACTTTTCCGGAAACACAGGTCTCACGTCTTAGCTTTTCCTACCTACCCCAAGCTTTTCAATTACTTTTTTTTTGCGATACATTCCATTCGTTAAAAAAAAATTTCAGTTTGTTTTGAAAATCGACATCTAAGCGTTCTTTTGTATAACTTTGAACAAGCCATGCATATGTTTCTTTTCTGGTCTGATAAATATTGAAAACTTGGAAAATTTTGATTGAAAAATATTTATTCCGAAAAAGCACCGAATAGATTAAAGCATGGCAGTGGTAATATAAATAAAAATACAACGATAAAAATTAGAAAAATGGGTTGATTAGTTAACAGGGCACTCCATTTTGTTGACGTCGCCAAAGACCTGAAAAATATACAAATTAAAGGTTTAGGTATTTTTAGAATTGGAACAAGCTAGCCTCGCCTAGGCTTAGCTTAGGATTATGCGCGGGCTTAGCGTGTTAGGCTAGCTTTCAAAGGCACTAGGAACCCACATCAATTTCCGAGGCTGGGATCTGCTTCCTCATGCGGACGCGGAGGCGCTCCTTCTTGTTGCCAAAGTGCACGACGCGCATGCAGCCGACGAAGGTGTCTGAAAGTGGAAAATCATCTTTTTCTCTTTCTCTCTCTCTCTCTCTCTCTCTCTCTCTCTCTCCCCCATCTCTCGCTTTTTCTCTCTCTCTCGCTCTCTCTTACCTCGCGTTTTCAATCCCTTATTCGCAGCTCCTTCCGGAACTCCTCCAACATAGACCGGGTCTTTCGTCAAGATCTCTGATTTTCCAGTCTTCTTTAGAATCTTCAGCTGGGAGCGACCATCGACGGTCAGGGCGAGGACGTGCTTCTTCTTGTTGATCTAAAAAATGTATTAACCGGCATTCCAGCGTCACGAGGAAAGTTTCGTAGCCCACAAACCTTAATACTGTGCCAATGACCGTCACAAAGAGACACGTTTCCGCTGTATGGGCTGTAGTTGATCGACTCGGCGCCGTCACCGGATTCGACGGAGAGGCGGACCTGAATTTTTTTGCGATGATATTTGCCGAGAACTTCAAAGGAGCTTCAATCTCCTCATATGTCCGCTTCAGAAAGTTGCTGCTCACCTTTCCATTGATGATCTCCAGATTGACGTACTCCAGCACTCCGACGGAGAACAAGACGGCAGTGTTGACACGAGGACGAACCTCGAGCTCGGCAGTGAAGGTGGTACCGACCTAAAATAAGTTTTTCTAATTTGTGTGCGAAAGAAAATGATTATTTTCGCCTTCTCTACTTACCGTGAACTCCTTGCTGATGATGGCGTACCCTCCGGCATCCCCGAAGAACATACCGCTCTCCTGGAACTGATCACAGGGCACGGTGCCGATCTAAAAATGAAGGAATTTGTTGTGGATCGAGCAGCGAGAGCGACAAAGCCAAGAGGGAGAGAGAGAGGGATAGACTGGAGAGAGATAAGGAAGATAGACGTCCGGGTATTGATTACCTCCTTGGCCTCGGCGTCCAGCTTCTTGTCGTTGAGCTTCAAGTCGCGCAGGCATCCCGAGAATTCGGTTCTGATCTGCGGGACGACGGTTCGGACGGGATTTGCCAGATTCGTGGGGACACCACCGAAATAGAGCGGGGGCACGGTATCGACAGATTCGGAGCCACCGGAGATCTAAAAAAACCATTTTAGCCCATGATACCTTTAATAAAATATCACCACACTCTAGAAAAAAACTGGATAATTAAAAACTTACGTCAGTAGACGGGACCTCAACCAGTTCGGTGTCGACGGTAAGCGTACCGCCATTTCCATTTCTGTACGCCTTGACGGTGTGCCACTCGTCGTCGAGAAGGGATCGGTTAGATGCGATTGTGATCTAAAATATAAGTTTTCGGATGTTATTTAGATATTGGGCCTTAAAAGGAGTACGACAACTAATTTCTCTCTCTCTCGCTCTCGCCCGCACTCTCTCGCTCTCCCTTCACGAACCTGTCCACTTCCGGTATCGAAGGCAAATTTGATCATGCCGTTCGCCAGGTAGATTCCGATGTGGTCCTTGCCGTCGGTGGCATACAAGATAACTCCAGATGACCCGGTCGCGCGAAGTTGGAAGGAGAAGGTGCCGCTAAAACAAATAGGCTAATTCTGATTACCTGTTCATTCGAGGGGCAGGGTAAATAGTATAATGCCGTACGCACCTCTTATCAAACGGATCCGGGGGTCTTTTCGAATTCAAGTCGCGAGTTGGGATGAGCACCGTAGCGAAGTCCATCGGAATCTTCTTGAGGTCCGATGGAGTTTCTGGGCAGGAAGCACTGGTTGGGGCGACGGGTGATCTAAAAATAGCAATTAAATTGAATTTTCTGTTCGTTTTTAGGTTTGCGAGTTGGTACTGGAGTAGGAGGTGTAAAACATACCTTTGGTGTCGCAACCGTTGTCGTGGTAGCGTCCTCAATATCCGAAATTTCCTCACCATCGTCGGTTGGAAGTTGGGTGACCGGCTCGCCGATGTCGACTGAAGGAGATATTTACAGATATTTTGAACATCAAAGCCCTTGTAAACCGAGTCCGAGCTCAAGCTTAAATTTCAATCAAACCCAACCTGCTCCAGGAGACTGTGTCGGCGACAGTGTCGGAATCGAGACCTGATCCGGAGCCAGAGCACAGCCGCTGCGTTGCACTTCGGTGGTTTCGGCCTAAAATTATAGTTGGGCTTGGCTTTAAAAAATGAAGATACCTTGGCAAAGTTCAGCAACTTTCCATTCAGCGTTACATCCCCGATGCAGCCGATGAAGTGGCCCTTCTCGTGCTTGCCGAAGACGATCTTGCCCTTTTCGCCGGCCTAAAAACATGGTAAATTTTAGCGATGGCGTAATTCAAGGATGACAAATGTTAATAAGCGTTTCTAGGTAATTGGCAGACGATAACTGAAGCCTAAGAAAATTGAAAAAGTTAAGTTAGAGCTCGAAAAAGTTATTTTTTACCTCTGAAACTTGGTTTTGAGGAATCTAAACGAATTTATTCATATGAAGTAATAAAACTTGAAAAATGATCCCAAGGGACCATTGAAGACATAACGACTTAAAGATAACGTACCATCTCGCTGTCCGCCACCCTCGGAATCTCGTGGCTGAACAGATCGTCGACGTCAACGCGCAGATTCTCCTTCGTCCGGCGTACAGCCACGTAGTGCCATTGGCTATCAGAAGCCGAGGCGAGCTCTACGGTAGCCTTCTCCTTGCCATTCGACTCGACGTGCAGCATGCCGTTGATGTAGCCGATCAGGAGGATTGGGATCTGAAGGAGTGATTTGTTTTCTCAGCCAAATTCCTCAAAGATTCTCTGCTAGTACGCCTAAAAGTTTAGAAATTTGTGATCAAGAATTCTAAATCTGAAAGAGAACACCTTCTAGATAGATTTATCACAGAATTTGTGCTAGTTCGTCCCAAGATTTGACCATATTTGATAAAGATGGCGCTTTTTCAATGATAGTCTTGGAAGAATTTTTGCTAGTACGCATAAAAGTTTAAAATACTTACATCATCCTCGGTAGCGATGGTCAACAGTTGTCCAGTGGACTCTTGGGTCTTGAATTTGAGCGTGGCTTCGACTTCATCGGCGATGGTGATGTTGGAGAAGGCGGCACGAGAGCGTTCGGAGAGAATCGAGATCTGAAACGGTTTTTGAAGGTGTTTTTAGTTTCTTAGTCGGCGTACTGTAGCGTAGCGTTCCCGGTTCCTTTAAGACATATGAACCTTGTCGCGCCAATCTTTTAAAAGCTTACCTCGCGAACCACATGCGCAGTACAAGCATTCCTGACGCCCTTGCTCTCCTGCGACTTCTGGAGGTTGACGTTGGCACCGTCGAGGCGAACGTCCTGAAGTTGTCGGTACTGTCAAGTTTGCAATTTAGGATATACCTTGATGCATCCACGCAGTGTCTCGACCGTTGTCCTGACGTTGACACCCATCGGGGTACCACCCAGGTAGTAGAAATCGGAGATGGACAGCTCGGACATGTCGCCAGGGGCGTCCCCTTCTGCTACCTAAAATCGGGATAGGAGAAAGAAAGCGAGAGCGAGCGAGAGACCGAGAGAGCTGGAGAGCTGGAGAGAGAGATGGAAGAGAGAGAAATAGTGAGAGATTTCTGACCGTTTCCCCATCGACCGTCACGACGACGTGCTTCTCGACACGGTTGACAGCTACCGTGTGCCATTGACCATCGTTTAGTTGAAGTCCGGTTGACTCGAAAGTTCCAACTCCAGTTCCAAGGTCCAAGGAGGCTTTGACGTTACCATCGTGAAGTTCGAGGGAGAGGAAGTCGCGCTGAAACATTTGGTTTAGGTTTTTTCGATTTTTTTTGATTAGGTAGGCGCATTAACGGCAAGCTCACCTCCAGTCCGATAAAGAACAACAGTCCCTCCGGCGAGAACGTCAAGAATGACAGCTGGAAGTTCGTCTTCTGCCTCGGATTCCAGGCTCCCATTTTGTAGGTGGCGTATCCGGCTCCATCGAGAGAGATTTCTAAATTTTCCTTCATTTAAGGAAGCGCCTCATCATACTTACCCGACTTAAGATCGATGGTATCCGGCGAGAAGCGCTCGACGCCTTGAACTTGGACGACACCCTGCGGTCTCGCGTTCCAAAGTCCGACTGGCTGGCCGTGCATCTGGAGTCCCTCGACGTCACCGACGAAGTCGCGGTTGTGCACGTCGCGGGTGACCTGAAGTTGATGGTAGAGAGAGAGGGATAGAGGATGAGAGAGATATAGACACAGAGATAGAGAGAGAGAGAGGACGAGAATAGATATGACAGGTGTTCTTGGAAGGTAATTCTGGAGCTTCAACTGACCCTAGTGTACTGCGGAATTCCTCCCACAAAGAGCCGGCTCAGCTTCTGGTGCAAGTTCAGCACCGACTTGTAGCCCTTGGCGGTGGAGCTGCGTTTCTCCTAAAAATTACACATGTTATGTTTTTACAGTAATCCTACGTGGAACATCTCAGAGTCAGGCTCGTACAGCGTCACAGACACCGATTTTCCGATTCTCTCGATGTGAAGGCGTCGCCATTGGCCGTCGGTGACAGGGCTAAAAATGTGGTCAACCGTAACGTTCTGAGCTCAAAATCAAGAATTTAAGGAATAGTGAATATTTGCGCTACAGTTAAGGTATCCAAATGCGTAAGTCACTTACGTATCAAGCAGTACAACAACCGGCTCGTCGCCCAAGTTCATCGACACTTTCGGGCGACCGTGCTCAATCTCGACAGCAATGTAATCGTCGGTGGGGACAGCTCGAGTTCCGGAAGATCCTTCCTCATTTCCAAAGAACAGCGGAATACCTAAAAATTTAATTATATAGGTCGGAGCTTTGGGCATGACAATTCGTAGTAGATCCCCAAATACGTACCATGCGGTTGCGTGGTCCTGAAGTTAAACGAAATATCCGAATAGGCGGCAGATCGAGTGACCCTATCCGGCAACGACAAGTCCAAGCTGCTTCCCTTCTCGAAGTGGGCGCCCAGCTTGATGCGATTCGCGGTGTCGCGGGCGATCGAGATCCGTTCTAAAAATTACAAATTTTTTGCTTTATCATAGAAAACTTCAAATGAAAATTGAATTATAAAAAATTTTAATTTTATTATTATAAGATTCAAAAGTTCCAACCCTAAAATTTTTAAGGGTTCTGGGAGATGGAAAGTAGATGAAAGTAGAAACTCATGGGTTTTTCATGGGTCAGAAAAGAGATAGTGATTTCAATATGGAATCTCCAAAAATTAGCTTGACCCCCTTAACGTACCCTTCATCTCGTTGACCCTGGCCATGACGTCGTCGAGCTTCTGCTGGATTCCCTTTTGCGCCTCGAGGGCCGCGTTGAACCGGTTGGAGACATCTGGGATCAACGTCTTCAGGTTCTCGATGTTCTTGTTGATGACCTTGATGCCCTGCTTGGCCTTCGTGTAATTTTCGATGGCCTTCTCAGCGGATTCCGCGTTTTTCTTGAGCTGAAAAAAACCAAGATAAAACTTTTGCTATAAATTCTGATGGCTTAAAGGGACTGTGACACCTAGAATCTCAAACGAACTGACCTCCTCCCGATTGTCCTGCAGCGAGCCCATCAAATCCTTGTGCTTCTCGGCCAACGAGTCGACTTGAGTGCTAATCGCCTCGAGCTGGCTCTTGTCATAAGCCGGCTTGGCTATCATCTCATCAACATTCCTCTTCCGCTCCTTCAAACTCTCGATCTCCTGCTTGACAGCCTGTGCCCTCTGCTTGGCCTGCTCGGACTCGGCCTTCAGCTTGGTGAGGTCCTCATTCTTCAGGTTGTTCGTCTTCTGGGTCAGCTCCTGGGTCTTCTCATTTCCATCTGCCACCTCCTTCTTCATGCTCTCGATGTCGTGCTCGCTGAGGGCCAACTGGATGTCGTCGGCCTTGGCGGAAGCGTTCTGAAGAGGAATTAGGGATCAATGTAAGTGTCTCTACCTTCAGAGACTCTGCGATCTTGTCGTGAGCACCAGCTGCTTCTACCGCAAAGTGAGAAGCTTGGCGGGAACCTCCGAACTTGTGGTCGAGCTCTTGGGATTGGCGCTTGAGGGTGTCGGCGTGAGCACGAGCATTGGCCTGAACGTTTGGGCAAATTAGAGAGAGATACAGGGAGGGAATGAGAGAGTGAGAGAGAGAGCGAGTGCGATAGAGAGCAACAGCTCAAAAACCCACCCTAAGTTCAACGTCATTAACATCCCGTTTCATCCTGATTCCAGTCTCGTCCTTCGCTTCGGCCAGCTTGATCTTGGTCTCTCCAAGCTTGTCCTTGCTCGCCTTGATGGCCTCGTTTTGCTCCTAAACCCAAGTTCAGATTTTAAAGGGCTAGGCAACCTTCAGCTTTGCCAGTTCCTCATCCGCATCGTTTGTCAGCCCATCGACCGCCTTCCGGTTGGTCCGGGCCGTCTCGGAGTCGGCGAGGATTCCAGAGCCGAGCGATTCGAGGTGGAACAGGGAGAGGTCTTTGCGCTTCTGAAAATTTCGTCGTTTTTAAAGGTATCAAATCATCTTATTTTTTAGTGCGAGAAAAACTTACTTGGTTAGCTTCCCGGATATTCTTGCTCGTCTTGGCCAGCTCGGTCTCGGCATCCTTGACGAACGTCTGAGCATCTTCGACCGACTTCAACGTCTTCTCGAATCGCTCCTTCATCGCCGTGTTCTTCGACGAGAATTCAGTGATCTTCTCCTTGACAGCCTCGACTCGGTTCTGGACTTCTTCAAGTTTGGGTGGGCGTTGATCACTAAAAAATCGATTTGAAATATTAGGAAATTACGATGCTGACATATAAGCAGATTGAAGGGAATGAAGAGCAAAGCAAAATTCTTAATTTTTTAAGTTGTTTTTCGATTCCAATAGCAGATTTTCTCGACCTACTTGAAGTTCTTGAGCGTCTCCAAAGTCTGCTGGGCCTCCGAAAGCCATTCGGGCTTGACCTCAAGCGCCTTCGCCCCACTTCCGATGCTGTTCGCCAGATTCTTCATCTCATCAACAACCATGGTGGCAACTCCTGCGCGATCTCGGATGTTTGTCAGAACGTCTTCAGCTTTTCCGGTCAGGTTTTGGCCACGTGTCAGATCGTCGTTCATCACCTATAGATTTCAGTAATGCGTTAACACAATAACCCTTTTTTGCCAGGGAAGCTAGCAAAGACAATTACGAAATTGACAGAACCTACCCAAGCCGTCCGGTTTGCCGAGCTCGCCAGAGCTGTAACGTTGCCGGTGACGGCCCTCGCCTCGCTTAAGAATCCGGTGTGGTCTTCCAGGTTGAAGTTGTTGATCTTGTCGGCGACCTAAATCAGCTGATTTTGAAACGAAGTACAAATTTTTCATACGCTCTGGATGTTGAACAGCGTCTTGTTGGAGCGGCTCAATCGAGCACCAGCTACGGTAGAAGCGGAAATGTTTCCGATAGCTCCTTCGAGATCGAAGGTAGAGAGTCCAAGGCGGTCGACGTCCGTGGAGAGGGAGTGGACGCATTCGTCACATCTGAAAGCATCAGGTTTAGCCGTATTTAGCAGCGTAAGTATCGTATTAAGGGTACTGTGAAGGTAAGTTAGATTCGAGAACACAACCAACCGTCTACAGCCATGCGTCGGAATCCTGAGATAACTTGGCAGACACTGGTCACAACGAGGTCCCGTGGCGCCTTCTTGGCAGTGGCACTGGCCGGTGCGTACGTCACAGACAGTTCCCATCGACAGATCGGCCTCACAGTCGCACTCTAGAAAATAACGCATTAATGACATGTTTGTGACCCGACAGGGTATCTTCCTTAAGGTACCATCCAATACTTACTCTGACATCCATTCGGTCCGTAGTTCCAGAAACCGTTCTCGCAAACTTCACAGCGAAGTCCGGCAGCTCCGGGCAGGCAAGCGCACTGTCCGGTTTGATCGTGGCATTGGGAGGAGGATGAAGCCAGACCACAGTGGCAGGCGCGGCATCCCTAAATTAGCTTAGCTTAGACGTAGGCTTAGGCTAGGGCTCCGGCTTAAGCTTAGGCCTGGGTTTAGGCTTCGGTTTAGGCTTAGTCTTAGTTCTCTTCTCTGTCGCTTTGAAACGAAAGAACACCCACCTGACAAGTATCGAAACCCCAATGATCAGCAACGCAGTGGTCGCACTTCTCGCCGCCAATGTTCGGCTTGCATTGGCAGGTGCCGTTCTTGTTATCGCAGTAGTCGGCTCCGCAGCGATCGCATCCACATTCGGCGCAGTTCTTCTTCTCGACAGCGTCGCCGTAGTACCACTCTTCGCACCACTCGCAGTGACGGCCGCTGGTATGCTTCTCGCACATGTAGCAGTCACCTAAAGATTCAGAATAGAAGCGATTCGGCGTTTTCAAGGAGTTCAGCACAGACGAAAAAACCTTTCTAAGCGTCTATTTGAGCTACTCCATGATAAGCGCTATGAAGAGGTACCACGCGTCTTGAGGTCTTGAAGGACTTTGCACAAAATGTTGGATTCCAAGTATTCCGGCGTTTTCAAGCAGTTCAGCTTCAAACCGACTTTATCGACTTACCAGACTGAGGATGGCAAGCTCTCGGATCGGTCAAATTGTTGTTTCCGTTGCAGTTACATTGCTGACAGATGCCTCCGTCCAGCGTTGGCTCACCGAAGAATCCACTGTCACAGCTAAATTTTGACGCCGTAGTGAATGTACCTAAACGTTGACTTACCGGTCGCAAGTCTCCCCAGAGTATCCAGGCTTGCAAGTGCACGACAACATCTCTCCATAATCCGAAGCCTGGCAGGCCGTTGCCACGTTGTTGGTTGGGGTCGGGCAGCTGCAGACGGTACAGGCATACGGGCTCATCTCGGTGGCGTCACCGTAGAAGCCTTCCTGAAAGTTACTAAGGGTTAAGAGTTTGCGAGTGTTACTACGCTACGCGCCAAACGTACGTAATTTCTCTTGATCCATTTAAGGAACACGCTAGCGCAGGAAAAAAGAAAAATTAGGGCTCATCAAAAAAGAGAAATACACTTACGTTACAGTACTCGCAGTGGTCTCCGTGCGTATTGTGCTCGCAGTCGGAACAGATTCCAGTCTCCGGATCGCAGGTACCAGAGTGTCCGCTGCATTCGCACGGAACGCAGGCTCCAAGGTACGGGCCGGTCTTCACGCGGTAGTAGCCGTCGTTGCATTCCTAAAAAAGTCGGGGTAGTGTCTTCATTAAAGGTATAAACGAGTCCAAACATAGACGTTTTGGTACCCTCTATATAACATTATATTAATGCGCAGACTTCCACCCCAACCAACCTGACACGACGCTCCCTTGTACGGTGCCGGACATCCGCACTGTTCCACGGAGGAAGCCTTGCGTCTGGTGTCTCCATAGTCTTCGCGAGAGACTAAAAATATACCGTTTTCAAGGTCCCTTTAATTTCCTATTTTCCTAATCTTTCGAATGAGTACAAAATAAGGCGCGTAAAACATATGGGGGTGTTACAGAGAAGCGGGGGCAAACTTACTACCAAACGTGGAAACAACCCAAAAATGAATATAGATACTGGGCTACTTACTAGAGACTGAAATATGGATATGAAAACTTTTAAAGAATTGAACAGTATACCTTCAATGCCAAACTCGAGGAAGTCGATGGCCTTTGGGTTGTTGAAGTACGAGCCCTTGACCTGGATGTTCTCGAGGTGGAAGAGGAGCATCATCAGATCCGGGCCGGGTGATGGGCTTGCCGGTGGAGGTGAGGAAATTTTCCTGAATGACACGTGGATATGGCGTTAGAATTCGTCTTAAAGAGCCGGGGAAGGCACGGCTGAAATCTGATGGCTATATTCCACACAGGTTTTAACGTGACCATGGCGTGCAGTGCGCCTGAACGACACGCTGACGCCTAGCCAAGTTAAAAAAATATACCAGACCATACTCGTTTTAAGCTACATTTTTGAACCTCTTGAACTTGACAACTTACCGGTAAGATGTCCAGCTCCACGGAGAACGGCACCGATGGATCGGCCGGTTGCTCTGGAGCCCAGAAATCGGCAGTGACGTTACGGCCCGTCAGACGGAGATCAGGCTCCGATGACATGGTTTTGGAGTCATCCGGGGGTTGAACGGCGAGCTTGTAGTGGATCTTAAGCGATGAAGTACGGGGTAGCTTAGATAGTGCTTACCATCAGTCCGTAGCTTCCGGTATAGTCGGACCCGGACGGGATCGGGACGTTGATGTAGACGTCCTTGGGCGCTCCACCCTCTCCTGGCTCGTACTTGACGATGTCCTTGACGACGGTGGTCTGGCCGTTCTTGTCGCTGGCGCTGTAGCCGGAGATGTTAAACGCCATCTGAAAATAGGAGCTGAACTTTGAACTTCTTGAAATTGACGGCTTTTGCTCGACGCACCATGTCCTAGTTTTGGGACCCGCTAATCAATTACGCTATAAAATTCGTTCGTTCTGAATATCCCAATTTTGTTGCGTAGTAACGGTTTATAAGCCAATTTCATTTTTAAGACCCCTCCCAACTCACCATAGCCAACGGGAAGTTCCCGGATCGGCACTGATCAGTGACGCCGAAGCAGAAGCAGTCAGCACATCCCTGCGGGTTGGCATCCGACAAATCGAAGGTTCCAGGCTTGCAGCTCTCGCACATCGGACCATACACGTTCTCCTTGCAGCGACAGACAGCCGTATGTGGGTCACAGACGTCTTCGGTGGTACCGTCTCGGTTACATCTGCACTCGGCGCAGTGGGGGAAACGGTAGAATCCGGCCAAGCAACGATCGCACATCCTTCCGCCGACATTCTCCTTGCAGAGACATTGGCCGTTCAGGGGGTCGCATTCGAGGTTTCCGCCTAAAGTTAAGACTGATGACAGGCCGAGCGAGCGAGCGAGAGAAAGCTAAAACCTACCATCAGATCCGTCACGATTACATCCGCAAAGCTGGCATCCGATCAGCGGGTCGTAGCCGTACGCGTTGGAGACGCACCTTAAAAATGAGCATAAAGTTTGCTTGCGGGAGTCTCAGCGACCCTCAATAAAAATGCCTCACTTGTCGCAATTCTGTCCATCAACATGCGGGGCGCAGTAGCACTGGCCGGTCTGCTCGTCGCACTGTTGGTTCGGGCCACATTTGCATTCTAAAATAACGACCGTTACGAAGCCGCTTAAAGGATCGTTAAGGCAAGAAATCGCTAAGTTTCCACGACGTACTCAAGCAATCCGGATACGAGTAGTGCCCGGGAGCGCATCGATCACAGCGTCTTCCGATGATGTTGGCCTTGCAGTCGCACTGGCCGCCGTAGGGCTGGCAGTTGAACGAGGAGGAGCCTAAAGATCGTTATTTGAATACTTGGAATCTTTAATGAGCATCAGCAAGGTTTGAAAGCTGCAAGAAAACCCACCAGCAGCCATGCAATCACACGACAGGGCGGCCTGGTTGAAGTCGGTGGTCAGGGTAAAGATCTTGTCACGACAGAAGTCGGAGGCGTTGCTGAAAATGATCAGTATTACGCGCTAAAGCCTCTCTTACGCATTCTTGAAGATGTTCTCCTTGCACTGCTCGACAAACTCGCTCGACAAGTCGATGGGTTGCAGCTTCATCAGATTGTCGTTGTAGTCCGAGTAGGGGACGGCGGTTACAGAATCCTAAATTATTCGATTTTATGATTTTGGTACAAGCTTAAGTTTAGGCTCAGGCTTAGGCATATGCTTAGACTTGGGCTTAGGTTGTAGGCTCAGGCAAGAGAGCTTATGCGTAAGCTCCTTATCAGGACTTACAATGTAGATAGGCTTCGTCGTGTCGTTGACGGTGAAGGTGAGCGTGTACTTCTCCTCCATCCAGAATTGGTTGATCTGAAAAAGTGGTATTTGATGGCGTAATCGATGCATACCTGCTTTCCACGATCGCGATCATGAATCACGGCGCGGCATCCGGAGATTGAGGGGCAGTACTCGAGCGGTAGAGTTCCTAAAATGCGAATTTCGTATAGATTTTTGTGAATATAGCAACCCAAGCAAAAATGAAATCTTTTGATGCTTTGAACTTAACGATAGTATTGTAATATACCAAAGTCTATTTCTGCTTACCATTGTAGATGTATCCTTCTGAAAATGATACGTGTAAATGATAAAATGATTTTGTAGTACGTTGGTTAATTCTAAAGGAGTCTTGAAGTGTGACTAACCGTGGTAGTATTGATCGTTATTCTGCACCAAAACATCAGCCTCGAATGGAGTGTTGTCCTGATTGTAGTAGTTGACGATGAAGCGGTAGTGACCACGTTGGGGGACGACGCCCGAGATTTCGATTTGCTAAAGAGCGGTATTAGAGGCTGAGACTGTAGTTACTGTCCTGTTAAAAACCAAAGTAAGCCGTATTTTAAATTCGACCATTTTTCGACCTTTTGTGCTTATTGACAACACTTCGAACTACAGTACCATGATCTTGCCAACCACATACCTGTTCCGGCTCAAGCTGCAACAACTTGATCGAGTCCTTGTTGGCAATCTCAAATGGCAGAGCGGCTCCCTCGACGGCTTTCTCGGCGTTGTGGCCATCCTCCACCTCGTTGGTCACTAAAAAGATTGTAGTAAAACCACGAAGCCCTACGGATATTTTTTTCAAAATTAGTATTACGTAGCAAATGCACAGTAAGCTTAATCTCAGACGCTAAAAAGCCTGGAAATGATCTAGACTTACCCGAGTTTTGGGCCGGCGGGTAGGCTTGAGGGATGCACTTTCCGTTCTTGCGCGTGCAAACGGGGAACTAAAGAAAATAAGGAGCTCCGCCTTGATGTCACCTTCCCTTTAGGAAAAGTCAAATTACCTGATGGAGCAGCTTGTGGTTCCACTTGTCCCTCGGGATCAAGCTGACACTGGCCAGGGCGAACTCGCTGCGGTGGTCAACGCTGAACTGCAGCTCGGCTTCTCCCTTGTTGAGTCGCAGCTCCGGGATGTTACCTCCGGCCGTGACGAGCTCGCGGCAGAAGGTACTGAACGAAAATGTTTTCTATCAAAAGACGCAACGCAAAGTACGTAACTGAATGCAATGTCTAAGAACTCACGAGAATGGGCAGTGTTGAATGATGGCAGTTCCGTCAAGCTTCGTCTTGCCGTCTTGAACGATTTCGAGCTGGAGCGGGAGGTTGGTCTCCTTGGTGTTGTGGTACTCCACGACGACCACGTAGTCACCATCTTCGGGGACGTCGAGCTGAAAATATCGTAGTTTCAGGTTATAAAGTCTCTGTTTGTATTCCTGGCTCGTCGCTTTTAATCGAAGAATACCATACCTTTGCCTTGATCATCCGATTCTTATCAGCCTTTTTCACATGAGCCGCGGTTCCGACAATTTTCTCCGGCAGAAGATCTGCTGCCATAATCTCCAGTGGTCGCTCTTCCTTGGCGTCTTCCTCGTCGTACACCTCAATGAAGGGCATGTTGTTGGAGTCTCCCTCAATTCGAGACACAGCCGCATCAAGCGGTGGGTACAGCAAGTCCAAGCAGGTCGTGTTGTGGATGCTGAAGGCTTGGCACGGATCGGGGAGTCGTTCTTTGAGAATGGTGCCTTCGTAGTACTCTTGTGGGATGATGACGGCGTAGTCCTGGCAAGATTTAAGTAGAGAAAGAGCGAGAGAGCGCGAGAGAGAGAGATAGAGAAAAAGATAGAAAAAGAGAGACAAAGCTAGACTTACCAAGAACAACCTCTGCTTTGTCGTCAACGACAAAGCCCACTTTCCGGGATTGAGCACGAACGGCTTTCCAGGCAAAGTAGCTTCAATCGTGGATGGTTCAGAAGTAGGTACAAAAGTGATCTTCTCGGACTGCTCGACGTCGTGTGTCGAAATACGGCTCGGAGCAACGGCCAAAATCGCAGTGATCGGGACTGTGGTCGGGTTATGATAGTGCAGCAGAACGCGGTAGACCGACGACTTGGAGATGTCAATGTCGAGAATGATCTTTTCCTGAAAAACAACAAGTTCGAAAGGTTCACGGATCCGACAACTTCAGCAATGCAACGGTGCTAGAAATTTAAGCAAGCACCTGAATCGGCGAAAACACAGCATATCCCCTCCAGCTAAAGTTCTTGAACTGCGACTCATCGGTCGAGAATCGGACGGGGCGGTTGTCAATGTTATGGCCGTCTTCTGCCTCGTAGATGTTGTGCCACAACGTCGGGAAGTAGTGGTTGTCGATGGGCTCGTCGCACTTCAGGCCGCCGACGCGTGGACGGCACTTGCACTGGCCGGAGGAGGAGTCGCACTCGCCACGCAGGGAACCGCCAAGGTCACAATTGCAGGCTAGAATTTGGGTTTGATTTACGGCACCTATTATTGTGAAAAATTTTGTACTATTTGTCTGCCTCTTCCTCAAAAGCCTTCACCAACTCCCCCAACCCGGAAAACTCACGCTCGCATCCCAGCTGATTGTGCGCCCTCATGTTGTAGTAGCCCTCGCCGCACTTGTCGCAGGCTCGTCCACCAACATGTCGCTTGCACACGCACTGGCCAGTCTTTCCATCGCACGAGTTCAGCATCGACAGGGTTCCGGGCAGGTTACAATCGCAGCTGATGCAACCATCAGGGTGGTGGTACTGGAGGTCCCAGTAGGTCGGCTTGCACTGGTCGCAGATGCGGCCGGTAACGTGCTTTCGGCAGGAGCAGAGCTCTCCGGGGGCAACCTGAAAAAAATGGTAGTGATAGATGAAGCATTAATGGTTGGGAAGGTTCGAGAGAGGGAGAGAGAGAGAGAGAGAGAGAGAGAGAGAGGGAGAGAGAGGGGAGAGTAAGAATCCCTACCTTGTCACACCCAGCAAAGTTGGGGGTAACACCACTCGGGTGGCAGTTGCACTCCTCGCAGATCGGGAAGTTGTAGAAGTTCGGCTTGCACTTGTCGCACCGTTCGCCCTCGTAGTTGCCCTTGCAGTAGCACTAAAAGTAAGTTGTATTCCGGCGTCTTCAACAAGTTCAGGGGATGTATCACTAGGCTGAAGCCCAGGCTCAGGTTCAGACTTCGGCTTGGACTTTGGCTTAATCCAAGCTCCTAAGACTACTCCTCCCTCACCTGTCCATTCTGATCACAAGTCTGTCCCTTCGCACCCTCCAGCAAGCAAGAGCAAGCCCTGCACGTCGGGTAGTCGTAGAAGCCAGCGGCACACTTGTCGCAAGCCCTGCCGGTGAAGTTGGCCGAGCAGGGGCATTCCCCGGTCTTTTGGTCGCACTCGGTGCTCTTCGCTCCGGCTCCCGCGCATCCACAGGGTTTGCAAGCGGGGTACCCAAAGAATTCGGTGTCGCACTGATCGCATCTTGCTCCAGCGAATCCGGGCTTGCAGAGGCACTGTCCAGATTCCGCGTCGCACATGCCGTCCTCAGTTCCGGACGGGTCGCAGTTGCAGTCTGGAATTGTGGTAAAAGCGTTAATTTTCCCTTTTGCTTAAAATTTTGTTGAGGTATTAAAACTATAAAAAACCTACAAGTGCACTTCGGGAATCCGAAATATCCCTGCGCGCACTGCCCGCAGCTCAGCCCCGAGTATTCGGCCTTGCACTCGCACTGGCCGGTCACAGCCGAGCAGTTCGAGTTAAGGGCTCCAACGTCGTCACATGTGCAGCCGACGCATCCGGCGGTGATGTTGGTAAAGCCAGCGGCGCAAGTGTCGCAGTGAGCTCCACCGTATCCATCCAGGCACGGGCACAGGCCATCAGTGGGGAGACAGACTTGGTCTTGGGTTCCATTCACTGAGCATTCACACTTCTTGCACTCTGGCGGGTCGTAGTAGCCGGCGGCGCATCTGGAAATAAGCATTTTAAGAAAGGGAACTTAACATCAAACCCCAAGCTAAGCCAAAGCCAAGCCTAAGCAAAGCCTAAGCAAAACCTAACCAAAACCTAAGTGAAGCCTAAGCAAAACCTAAGCAAAGCCTAAGCCCAAGCTTCAAGTCCAAGCCCCCGCTAGGCTTCCCAGACCCTTTAAATATCAAAAATCTGCCCACCTGTCACAGTCCTCGCCTTCAAATCGTGCCTGACATTCACACTTCCCATCTCCATCCCTGCACCCTCCAGTGTGCTTATCCGGATCGCAAGAACACGGTCGGCACGGATTCACGTCATCCCAGCTGACCCCCCTCCGGCTTATAGAAACCGAACTTGCACTTGTTGCAGTTGATTCCCTCGGTGTTGTCGCGGCAATTCAAGCATTTTCCACCACCCTCGTAGTTTCCATGAATGTCGAGGGACTGCTTGTTTTTGTCCAGCTCCTCGTCATAGATACAGTCCTCCGATCTGCCGAAGCAGTTACAGGGCTCGCAGGTGAAGTTGTTGGTAGCTGTGACAGGCTGCCACTTCTTTTGCTCGAAGCCCGGACAGCAACGGTCGCACATATCGCCGCAGGTGCGGTGCTCGCAGCTGGAAGTGAAGGAGGTTAAAGGGGTGGTGACTTCTCAAGTCAGCGAACGTGCCTTGCCCGTCCCTTTAAACGTCTAGTGACGTCAAGCTATTTACCCTATCAATCAAAAATGCCTACCGACAAAGCAGCGAGTTCGGCCTGGAGCTGTCGAGAACGTCGCAAGTCGAAGCATGACCATTGCAGACGCATCGTCCACCAATGTGAATCTCCTTGATGGCGTAGAAATATCGGCGGGTGACGGTTGGGTCGTTCTTCTCGTTCAGGTCGACCAGGTGGCCCTAAACTCATGATATCGCTGAAAAAATCTTTATGAATACGGTACCTGTAGCGTCCTCACTCCCAGAAGTCGGAACCGAACGTTCGTCGCCCTGGTGAAGTTCTGCAGGACTTGAGAGGTAGCGAAGTGGGTGCGCTGGGGGCGATGTTCGAGGAGATTGATGACCATCTAAATAGGCATTGATTTGAGGTGGGTAAGGTGGTGCTCACCTCAGCATTCTCCAGCGGTTGGATAGACGCAAAGTCGTACCGGCACATCACCTTCTCGTCCTCGAAGACTGGTCCGATGGTCTCAGCACCGAAACGCTGAATTTTTGCGTATTACATGAGTATAATGCCGTGACTTACCCTAACGCAATCGGCCTCAGTCGGCGCAAAGTACATCCACGGCTCGTAGGTGATACCGTAATCCTTCGATCTTTCCAGCACCCAAGTGCCCGGTTTCGGCGAGTTCGCCATTTGGATCCAGACGTAGGCCACGTGGAATTCCTAAAAATAACGATTAAACACGTTTTTTTTTGCTTGAACTGCTTGAATCTGACATTACCTGCTCGAGGTCGATGGTGACGTTCACTTCATTGTACTGCATACCACGCGACAGCGGCGGGGATTGCCACCAGCTCGTGTTGCCGTCAACCATGAAGCGAGCCGGGTGTGAGTCCCGGCCGCCGGCCATACAGTTTCCGCAGCCGTGACCACCCTAAAATATGGATTCATACGGTAGTCCCTTCCTGAATTCCTAAGGCCAGCTACGACTTGCATGCTACGCTACGGTTTATATGCTTTCCTACGGTCTTGACGCTAAGCTACAGTGTGTACGCTACGGTTCGCTACGTGTGTGTTGTAGCGAAGCGGGCTTTGCTATTCGTGCGTCACGCTACATTACACACCTTATCCCGCACCTTACGGCTCTCCAATAAGTCGTGAATTTTAACTTACAAGAATTTGGCTCTCCCTTGGCGCCCTCAGCTCTTGGAAGAGGTTCTTCTGCTCGGATTGTGATCGTTCAGAGTAGGAGTATTGGTTCAGCGGGGTGTATTGCATAGAGCCTAAATTGTGGTTTTTTTGGTCGTCATTAGTTAAGTCACTTAAGCCTAAGCCTCAGCCCTAGCCAAAGCCAGGCCGAAGCTACGGTACTCTACTTTGTTAAAAACCTTACTAGCCAATGAGCAGTAGACTTCATTGATCGGATTTCCATTGATCTCTCCGCACGTCGAGGTGGCTTTGATCGGCTTATTGAGGGATATGGTGACTTGTGATGGTGTCAGCACTTGGCCCCATGCGTACGCCAGCGCTGCGTACAGCAGCACAAGGCGTCGCATCTCGTGGAAGGGGGCTAAAATATGTCAATAACGTTAATTTAGCGAGCAAAAATTCAGGAAATAACATGAAGAAAGTGCATAAAAAGCGCGAAACAAGGTAAAATTTCCTTAAGAGAAGGTGATAACGGTCGAAAAATTGGCATTTGAGCCTTAAAAAGTACGCAACCAACGCATGCCCTGGGGCTATCAACCCGAGCGGCATATCAGATTATGGCCCCCAAGCAGAAAAATGGCCATCGTGACCCGAGGTGCCGCGCAGGGGCCTATGCAAATATCGTAAAGGGCAAAACAAGGCATGGGCAATCGTTTGGGGCCGATTTCTGCAAATCAAAACAAAATCCTTTACATCACCGAATTATCGAAGGAAAATTGAAAATATCTGAATGCGTTTCTGGCCCGGTTTTCCGTCTTGAAAAGTCATTTTTTTGAAGCGTAGTTGATTTCAACGGTAGCTGAAGCATTAAAAAAACGCACTCACCCCACCCCAAACCGGGAGGGCGTCATTTTCCCTACGCAACCTCTGGGGTTTGGGGCCCTCTACCCTTCCCCACTTCCCTGGTATATGGCTGCCCCAGACGTGGGCGAACCACCCTTGACCCCCCCGGTCAACTTTCTTCTCTACGATTTTCATCGTTCTGACGGTCTTTAGAAACTTGGAAAAGCCGAGTAAGACAAAAATACCAAAATCTTGGAACTGGATCAGCCCAGCCCGTATCATTGTAGTGTCCCGCTGTGCCGAGGGCCGAACAGCCAGCCCCCAGGACCAAAGGGCCAACACTTTCTTTGCCATCGGCACAACTCCACCCCCAATTGCTTCGAGGCGATTAAACAAGGTTGGGTCATCGATTTGGAGTGGGCAAGAGCAAAGAAAGAGCTTAAGAAAGCCATTTTTATGCAAGTTAATGAGACCGGAAAGGATGGTTTCAATCAAGATCCAAGTGTTTGAAAATTGTAGTGGTAATTAATCGAGGTGCGGTAATTAACTTTCTCCACGATCTGGAGAAGCCAATAATCTGCTCGATGACATTCTTCCGGTGCTGCAACTCCAAGAGCTATACGAACCATCAACGAAAATTGTAGTCATGTCGAGACCGAGAAGGATTACAGTACCCATTAAATACGTGATACCGTTGCCAAGCTTAGACCATGTCTACCTCTCCCTTTCACAAACTCTTTTGCTCCTCCCATACCAACAGAACCCAATTGCCCGAGTATCACTCCGATTGGGTCATCGATCTGGCCCCGGGGACCCCAGCGAGCGAGCGACCCAGCAGACTCAGGTTTCTTCTTCTCCGCCGCCCAAAAAAATTGACCCTTGATAGGCCCGGGGATTGCGCCTTGCCACTCCTCTGGCTTGGGTCGCGGTGTAAGACGCTTTGAGGCTGAGAAAAACGGTAGATTTATTGCCGTTGGGTAGTGCAGATTGGGGGCTATGAGGTGACCGGTCAGAGCCGTGGGATTTTTGGGGCCGAAAATGGCGGGATAACGAAATTGTATCAAGCACTGCTGGCTCCAAAAAGTGTAATTATTGTGGGTTTTGGGATACCGGGGTGTAGTAAGGTACGCTATTCATGACTCATAACCTCAGAATTCGCCACTGAAGTACTTGGGATCCAGGATGGAATTTAAAGGGCTGGTGAAGTGGAACGCAGTTACCTGACCGACAGACAGAGAGTGAGAGAGAGAGAGAGAGAGAGAGAGAGAGAGAGAGAGAGAGAGGGAGAGAGAAGGAAGAGAGCCAGTGAGAGGGGGAGCGGGAACAAAGAGCAGGAGGAAATGATGCCATAGTGAGAGACAGAATTTACATACGATCTAAACAATTTTTCAATTTTGCGAAATTCTCATTTTGAGGACTGTAGTCAAGCGAACCGCGACACCACAAGTCATTCTCCTTTAAAAATTACTCAAAATACGCCGAGAACGTTCCGCGTACTGTAATAAAGGCCTGTAGGAACCTCCAGAGAAAACCGATGCCTGGGTCCACATCTGGTACGGTGTGAGCTAGGACTGCCCGCCTGGTCGTGCTCCACAGCTGCGCGACCCATCCTAGAGGCCCGCCTCTCTTTCTCCTCACCACCAAAAAACTTTACACATCTGGTCCTGCGCCTGGCCCGGGGCGGTGGAAGAAAAAAGTCTAGGATGCTGGAAGAAATGGTTGGAAGGAGCCGGATTGGTCAAGAGGCGTGCAGCTGCTGAACACGGTAAAAGGGGAATGGACTGTACGATTCAGAAAGCTTGGCGCATTTGCAGGAAGCAAAGAGCTAATGGCACTATTTCCTTGAACCTGTTTGTGCTCTCAGTGCATTAATAGGTCGATATACAGCTGGTTAAGCTGCTTGTAACTAAACTTCCCCGATGAAGCTAGCCCTAAAACCAGTTCTCTGGTAATTTTCAGAAGGCAAACGCTTGCTGCAGGATGATACCAGTTGACAGAAATTTGACAATGGAGCTTTCCAATTTTTGGCCTTATATTGAGCCTCAGGTTCGTAATTCGGCTTCAGACCCACTGCTAAAGCTTAGGCTCACGTCACTTCCTTTGTTTTCAGCACGACGCAGCCTTCGGGTGCTACAGATTACACACGAGTGGTACGCCGTGAACACCTCGCATAGGTGAGTCACCACAAGGGGTGAGTCAGCTGTCATTAATTATACTTTCAGCTATTGGGCAGAATAACGCAGAAGGATCCTTCAACGACTCCACAAGAATCTCTCCTGGTTTACGGGATTTTCAATGGAGAAGCACGACTTTTACAGCTTCAAAAGCTCCAAAGTTCACCAAAATTCCTTAAGAATGGGTGATTTTTTTGTGTATTTTGATAGCTGTTTTTGCATTTTCTCTTTCTCCTTCGTTCAACAAGCCATTTATTCCCGCAACAAGTACATTTTTCAAGGGTTTTTTTAGTTGTTTTTTAAAGACTACCAAAAATCAGGCGGGCCAGACTGGATTGCGACGCGTTAAAAAATGAAACAAAAATACCACAGAAAAGCAAAATTACCTTATAGCAGACAAAACAGGGCCGAATGGTTCGCGTGTTCATCACAAATTGGATTGGGAAGAAAAGTCCGGGGGCGTTTTTCAGAGATTACGGTAGCCGGGGTGCAAAGCAGAAAAGAGAGCGCCATCATGCTACAGACTACGCCAGTCAAAATAGAGCCCAAAAAGATACGGTATTTTTAGGTTTTGTACAATAATACCGTATCCTTTTGGCTTGAATTTAGCTGGCTTTAAAAAGCTGAGTCAAGCAAAAGTGTACCCTTTTTTGCGGTTTTTTCAGAGATTTTTCTGGGCGTAAATCGTAAAAAAAGGAAAAATGACAAATGAAGGCGAGGAATTATTTGGTGGCCGGTTTTTCACAGTGGGCGAGACGTTACTGGAACGTCCAGAGAATAATACAAAATTTACATAAACAAAAATAGTCGTAAAATAAGGGCGAAAAGCTAATGCGGGACCCAATGGGGGAATGGACTACTAATTGTATTAATTGTTTTCTACGCTTCGGGACCCATTTTTGCGTTATGTTGGGATAATAGGGAGGAGGAGGAAGAGGGCAATTTGCTAAGACCTAATAAGCAAAATCACGACGGAAAATCAACAAAAATATTTTGAAAATGGGGCCAATCAAACGTTACGGTGTTTTGGGTTTAAAGGGACAGTGACAGGCCTTTTTCTAGTTGTCATACTCCATTTAAAGGACAAAAATTCCGTACTTTCCAATTGACGCCATTTTCAAAAGAAAAAAGTAAAAAAGAACGAATCATTCAATTGGGGTGGAACACAGTCGTAGTTAGCACGGTGGGGGGTTTGTATCAAGGAAACATTGGCTTAGGCCTAGGCTTAGGCTTAGGCTTGGGCTTAGGCTTAGGCCTAGGCTTAGACTTGGGCTTATCGTCATCAAAGAGTAAAAGAGAGGGCACCCGATATCTACATGTTTCGGAGGAGAGGAGGGGCAGGTGGTCGATCGAGAAGCTACGTCGATCGAGGAATCGTGGGGTAAGGTCGGAAATCGCAAAACCAAAAAATTGCGCTCAAAAAAGGGGAGCATGAGCTTAGTGGTGCTGATGCTGATGCTGGTGTTGTTGTTGCCAGAGGGCCGCGTTTAGGAGCGCCATCTCGGCGGATTGCTGTTGCTGCTGGGCGTGGTGCTGCTGTTGTTGTTGCTGCTGGATGAGGTCACCCTGCAAATGCATAAGTATAATTTTACATGTTTCAACGAACTTAAATTTAATTGAATTGCGAACTTCAGGGCTAGCTTTTACATACCTCTCGGTTGACATCGATCATCGGGCGAACAACGGCACACTTGGTCGATGGTTTCCGGCCGGCAACAGCGGCCGCAACGGCGGCTGCCTGGTTCGCTTGTTCACTGAAAAACAGAATAAGTCAATTCCTCCATCCCTAGATCTGTATTTTCATCGGAAAAGGGTCAACAAAAGGGGGGCGGGACTAACTAGTGGAAGCGAGCACATGCGTGAGGCCAATCGAAAAATTCAACGAGATTTTGGAAAAACCACAACTTTTATCTGAATTTTGGACTCGATTGGCCTTTTTTTGGAAGCATCAAGTAGCATAAATAAGGGGGAAATTTCGGTCAACCATGTAGGTCGCGCATTAACGATATCTTATGCTGAAACGACTACCAAAACCCCTGTTAAATTCGAGAAAATATGGAAAATTGCGTGTTTTAAGCGTTAAATACGCCCTTAAAGGTATCTGCTGTGGTAGCGATTATTTATTGTAGAAAATAAGGCATGATCGCGCATTAATGGTACCTTACGCTTTGCATACCTCATTTCAAACGAGACCTGAAAACGGTTCAAATATTGGGATTTTTAAACGTCTACTAATTACTAGCTAATTTGTATCTTCCAGACCAAAGGTATCCAATCATACCTTACCACTACGATAGCATTTTTTTAAAGTGTTAGTCGGAAAATAATAAGATACTAAAGCCAAAACACTATCCGCAAAGCAGGCGCAACGCAAGCAGTATACAAAGGGGGGTGGTGGACCGGGGGGAGGTGTCAAGTGAGTGAGTGTACGTGACGCTCCGCATCCCCAGCACAAACGTACAATGAGGTGAAGGCGGCGAGGGCTGTGGCGAGGTCCTGGTGGTGCTGGAGGAGGTTGTGCTGCAGTCCGTGTTGCATATTCTGCTGCAAGTTCTGCTGCTGCATGCCGGAGACGCCCTGGGAGAGGGCGTGGCGAGAGTCGTCGTCGTTGGAGTTGAGGGTGATGACGGAGACGGCGGGCGAGGCATCGGGGAGTCGGGCGGTGGGGCGGGGGATTGGCGTCGGCTCACCGGAGCTGAAATGGAGACGCGTGGTGCGGTGGGGATGGGGGGAAAAGGGACAGGAGGTGGATGGAGGGAAGCTGGGACAGTTCTACAGACGGAATGGCATACCGACGTACGGACAGACGCTGAGCTTGAGGCGGACAGACAGATAGACAGACAGAGCGAAACTTGACATATTAAGTGTGCAACATACAGACTTTCCTCTCTCCCTCCCTCTCTCTCTCCCTCTCTCGCTCTCTGTATCTCTTTCCCTCTCTCACTGTCTCTTTCTCGCTTTCTCTCCTCTCTCCCTATCTCTCCCTCTCCTCTCTCTATCTCTCTCTCTTCTCTCACCCCATTCTCTCACACAGAATTCAGACCTTTCACCAAAAGCGTTCCCACACATGCACTTCAACCATTTCTTCCGACTTTCAATTCATGCTATTTGGTGGGGGAATCTGCTCAAATCAATACAACGGATCCGGCGGCTACGGTAGGTAGAGGAACAACAAAGTGTTTGACAAAATTCTATTGGCCATGGGAAGCTAGCGATTTTCTGGACAGACCGATTCGAAAACAGAATTTTTCTATTAGCGAGTCAGAGTTTTTTAGTTTGGTCGTGGCTGGTCCTGGAGATTTTTGAGCAATTAACTGGAGCATGAGTACGGTAATTTCGACAATCCTTAGTGAAATTCAATCAATTTTTGCAGGTTTTGACTCACAGTTTCAGGAATTTCAAGGTGTTATAGAAACCAAAGCCCGCTTTGCGAACAATTCCACTAGACACCAATTATTGATGCAAATTGCCCCGGAAATTATATAGCTGGTTAGAGAGCAAATGCAAGCCGGTGTGTCTTCTCCCAAAATCAACGAATGTAACACCAAAAACGAATAGTATGCATCATCTACCAGGACAAGCCACGACTCTCTCAAGGAAAACTCCAAAAGGGGAGAAAATCAAAGGGCGACGACGCATTTAGGCAGCTACCGTAGTCGGGAGGAAGTTTTAGACAGTTTTTTAAAGGGGTGGTGCTCAGGAGGACGAATTTTTGGCGAGTTTCGAGCTGCAGTTTTGAGCCTGAACTTACGCTAAGCCTAAGCCTAAACTAAGCCTAAGGCAAGCTTAAGCCAAGCTAACCCAAGCTTAAACGAAGCGCCAACCTAAGCCTAAGCAAGACTTTCTCAATTTTCGAACTCGCAAAAAACGCCTCAGGAGCACCACCTAGTAGAAGTGAAGGGGTACGGGGGGTAAAGGGTGCGGAATAGCTCGTGAGGATGTGCGCAAACCGGGTGCCTTGGAACTCACCTATGCACTCCGGATTCCTTTTGGCGTTGCTGGCCCGACGTCGACGCGGCGGCGGCTTCGCGCTGAGCGTGCGCGAGCGCGGCGGCCGCTCCGGGCAGCAGTCCGACGCTGGCGGCCCACGCCGGATCATCCTGGAATTCCGCGACAATACTATGAGCAGCCAAATGTGTTGTAAGGACTGGGGAGTACTGTAGGTTTTCCAGACAATCGTTTTTTAGGTAATTTCAACAAAAAATAAAAAATCGTTATCATAGAAAGCTACAGTACTCCCACCATTTTTCAAGTCACACGACGAAGCCGAAGAAAGGACACGACGCCAAAAAAAGAGAGGAAGAGGCCCGAGATTACGGTATTACGGTATCAGGAGCAGGGGGCAAATTAGTATGGAGGGAAGGTTTTTTTAGGGGCTACTGTAGAGAGGGTACTGTGGGTTAGTGCGGCAAAGAGGAGGAGGTGTGGGTTTTTGGTATGCAAAGAGGCTGTTGAGAGCGGAACAAAGGAACGGGACTTAACGAAATTCTACTACAAAACCACATCCAGTAACCGGTCAAAAAATGTTTGAAATGTATTATGGCCTTTTCGGGATTCGAAAGATCGTTTTTTCGACTGGTTACTGTCATTTTCAGGATAATCTTTTCGATTTATTGAAATGAGCTTGACAAAATTAGGATTTGAGCACCAGGTTTTACACAAAAGTGAGAGAAATTTGAGTGTTTAAGAATTTAAGGGGACTTGGAAGCCAAAGCCCAAACTAGCTCTTGAAAATTAGGCAAGTTCTACGTCTGGCTTCGGAGTCCCTTTAGATTTCGAAAATTTTTTTAATTAAAAAAAATTTAAATTAAAAATTAAATTTGTAAATTTAACGGAATTTGTATAATTAAGTTTTTGTTATTTTTTAAGTTAAAATTCGCAAAAGTTTGTTTTTTGTTTGGAATGTATGGCGGTCTGGAAATCAGAAGACTCTTCTGCTTCTCAACAATGAAAAAAACCTGATTTTTCAAAAACCTTAGCTAATGAAAATTTGACTTCCCGGTCCTTTTAAAAGCCAAAAGCTCAAATTCCAATCTTGCCAAGCCAACAACTCCTATCCTACGGTATTCCCCACGATCAACTTACAAAATTTGGCACGCCAGTCGCCTGGGCGAGGTGGGGGATCTGCTGGGTGAGGTTGGGGAAGACCTTCGGTTGGCTTTGCGCGGTGGCGGCGAGCATTTGCGAGAACTGCGAGTTTCCGGCGGCGGCGGCTCGGGCGGCAAGGGCGGCCGCCTGGTTGACGGCGTTCGCCTGGCTGAGCAGGTCGTTCGGGAAGCAGCCTGTCAAAATGGGATTAGATGGGGCTTTCAAGGAGCAAAGAAGACCGCTCTGAGTGCATTACGACACGCGTCGCGTAGCTGTCGAGACCTAGTCGACATAAAGAGTCGATTTCCGCACGTAAACGGGACTCCAAAACACCTACCGTTCGGGAACAGCGCCGCGGCGGCAGCGGCCGGCCAGCCGATAACGCCCTGGCCGGTGGGCCAGGCGGCTTGAGCCTGGGCGGCAAGGAGGTTCGGGTCCATGATGGAGACGGGGACGAACTGCGGTACGAGGCCGGTCGGCTGGGGCGCGAAGATGTACTGCTGTTGTTGGCGAGCTGCTAAATCAACTATATGTAGGTCATCTGCCCTACAGGGTGTCCCAAAATTATCCGGACAAAGTTGCAAAGCAGTTTTTTCCTATTTTTTCCCTGTTTTTGCAGACCATAATCTAATTTCTATGAATCGTCGAAGTGTATTGAATAAGCTTAAAAAGAAAACCGCGCGCGAATCCGTCATATCTCTTCGGAATAACTTGGAGAAGTTCGAACCAAATTTCTCTCTCCTTGCAAACGCTGAAAACGCGCATGCTTTCCGATCCGATAAGAAACTTCAGCATGACCGGACGAACGAAGAAAACACAGGAAGAGTTCAGAAATGACCAGTCAATACCTTAGCCGGCCCAAAAACGCTAGGTTTACACCAGAAAAAAAAACAGCCAGCAAAAAAGTTGAAATCGAGGTACGCGCCGCCCCGGTTGCCTTAAAGGTTTTGCCCTGGAGGAACCCTAAAAACGCGATATGATTATTGTCAAAGACTAGAAGCATAAACTTTTGGCTGTAACGATGATGCACAAGCAATTTAAATTAAGCTAACTTTGATTTTTGAGGAGCTTGAGCACGAGCAAGCATCGAAACACCTTGCCCAGTAATGGGATGGAAATCGGTATTAAACGGAAAAATGACCATTAACATGTCGGAATCTTGGCGGAGTTAGGTCCGTTTTGCCAGAAAACGTCATTTCTTGCCCACAAAAACGTCTGAACACATTTTGAAAGTTTACCGCAATTTTTATGTTATTTAAGAGGCGAAAAATTTTAACATGCTCTTCGCTCGATTGTGAAGCTATTTTGCGTTCTCCAAGAATTTTTTTTGCACGGTGCATCGAAAATGCTTCAAAAAATATTATGAAATACAATGCGGAGGCCAAAAACAGCGGAAAAATTGAAAAAGTCAGTTTTCAGTTTTGTCCGGATAATTTTGGGACACCCTGTAGTGGTAGCTTATAGGAATCTCTCTCTCTTTCTCCCTCTATCTCTCTCTCTCTCTCTCTCTCATCTTTCTCACTCACCATAAGGCAACACCGCTGCCAGAGCAGGCTGGTAGTAGTAAGGGGCCGTGGCTTGGCTCTGCACACTCGCAGCAGCGACTGCAGCTCCGTACTGGTTGAGCACGTGCGTCAGGTCGGGCTGGGGAGCGGCTTGGACGATCGGAGCAGGGGCGAGAGCAGGCGGTGCTATTTGAGGTTGCGGGGCAACAACTGGAGCCGTAGGAGCTTGCGCAACTCGAAGGAGGGCCGGGTTTTGGGCGGCGGCTTGTTGGACTCGGCTGCGCACCGTCACTTCCATGCTGCGTAGTGCGTTGCGGACACTGAAATGAGTAGAGGATGGAGAAAACTGTGCCGCAAGGTGTTTAGATCTTCTAAACGCAATCTTAACAGACAGGCTCAATCCTGGCAGGTTTTCCCCGCGTTTAAAAAACTCTGTAAAACTTACTACTTGCTCTGACTGTAGTTCGACAGATGGGACATCGTCACAAAATTGTGCTGCAATCCCTCGTAGGGTGGTAGCCGATAGTCCTGGTTTAAGACAAGCATCTTTTTCAGCAAGTCCACAAATTCTTGACGGTCCATCCGGTCGCAAGCCGCTTCCACCGGGTCGTTGTCGATCGGGTAGAGGGCGTGCTGTTGGTAAGCCTGAAAAAATGGATTAGAAATTTGTCTTGCCAACACCTTTAAACGCCTATAAAAAAGTACTCACTCTTGGGACATCGTCCAGACAATTGAAGATGTACTTCCTTGTCTCCTTCGACTTTGTGTGAGCGCTGCTCTGCTCGAACTCCTCGGTGGTCTTCAGGCGCCAGTAGTTCTGTCCGGGGCCGCCGTTGGTAACCTTAAATTGATAGTATTAAAGTGATATTTATAGCTTTCTCTCTGTCTCTCTCGCCCTTACTCTCTTACCTTGATCTCCTTGAAGAAGCGGTGCACCTTGGCGGCAGCTTCAAGCATCTCTATCGGTGGGAGTCCTTGCGTTTGGACGATATACCTAAAGGTACCGATTAGTGGGTTGTTTTAAGAATAATTTCTAGGTTTTCTTACCCTAAAAATGAGTGAGACCTACCGTATCTGGTCGTACTCGCTCGAGCCGGGGTACAGGGGCCAACCGAGGAAAAGCTCAGCAATCACGCAACCCAGTGACCACATGTCGATTGCCTCCTTGAAGGGGAGTCCGAGGATGATTTCAGGTGCTCTGAAATTTGGGTTTGTGGGGAGCATGAGTTTTTAAGTGCTAGGAAGTCTGGCTCTAGTACTATCCTAAAGGACTCATGAAGCCCAAAATCCGTTACGTACCTGTAGTAACGACTCTGCAGATAGGTGTTCGTCACCGCCTTGCTCCGATGCGACGCCGACCCGAAGTCGATGACCTTCACGCGGAACGGCTGATTCCCGGGGTCCACCAACATGATGTTCTCCGGCTTCAAGTCGGCATGGATCAACCCGAGGTGCTTCAGCTTCATCAACGCGGTCAGGACCTGAGAAATGGTCCATTAAAGGACCGATGAAGGCAAATCCACACCTGTTGGACGATGGGCCGAATCGAGTTGAGGGGCAGGGGCTGGAACTTGTTCTGCTTGAGGAAGTCGTACAGATTCTGCTCGAGCATCTCGAACACGAGACACGTGTGGCTCTTGTGCTGGAAGCACTCGAACGCCCGCACGAAGTTGTACTCCTCGGCATTCTCGCTGGAGAGGCGGGATAGGATTGAGACCTGGAAGAGGGATTAGTGTTGGAACTTCCTCAATTTTTCTTTATTTGTCATTTTTTTGTTTCTTATCGTACTTATTTTTCCTACACCCCGTTATCTCGCTAGCTTCCCTCCTTATCGCTGGCTTCAGTAGTTTGCAGCTTTTGAGCGGGCATTGTAGTTTGTACCGATTTACGGTATGACAGCGAATTCGGAAAAAGAGGAGTTTCCACTACAAACTACCCAGGCATAAAATTTTAGTTTTAGCTTGTATCTAAATCTTGTAAGCTGCATTCTCGTCATCAGCTGCCGTAACCGTTTTCCTCCATTTCAAGCTGACGTACCGTCTTCGTGCCGATTTTCGGCTATGCTACGCTACGCTCCTTTCAACGTCATCATTTTATACAACACGCCAAGTTAAAGTTTTTTTTACATTTCGAAGTGTCACAGCCTCTTTTCTCGCTGACTCTCTCACACTCTCTCACGCTCGAGGCTTCAGCTGCACCGGAATCTGAACTATCGTATCCCTGCAGCGCTCGTGTACTGTATCATGTTTTCGCTTTTTTGCAGCCTGTAGCCCGTACCCTGTACTGTATACCGTATATTGTAGCTGTACTGTATACATAGTCCAAAACCCCGATTTTCTTGTAGTGTTATCCCCTAGCGTCAGCTACCGTAACCCGTCTTCTGCCACCACTTCAGATTCTAATCTACCGTACCCCCTTCCATAAGAAGCGGTTGAGGGCGGGGAAGACACCGGCAATAGAGGGCTTGTTCGTGGGGGCGAGATGCGGGGGCAAAACATGTTTTCCCGATGGGGTTGGGTGGTTGACTGGTGGGTGGCTCCTGATCCGCCGCGGCGTCGTCTCGTTTCAGGGGAGGAGGCAATGCCCGAAAATAATCCCCGTTCATAGGCAAAAAACGGTTTCCCCAGGCAACCCCCTGAATCTCGTCCTCCTCCTTCAGAAGCTGGCAATATTTCCGCCGCTTTCTCACTCTCTCTCTCTCTCTCTCTCTCTCTCTCTCTCTCGCTCTCTCGCTGTATAGCTCTTTATCTCGCTCTGTCTCTCTCGCTCTACTTAAATTGACGCAATTCCCGGGGCCCACCGGGAAAATTCGGTTTTGATTCCACTAATAGATTCTTTTTGGGAGTACGGTGGGCGTGAGAGAATTAGGGAAATGACGAGGGTAGGGAATGTATTTTTGGGATTCAAATAGAAAGGGATCGGAATTTGTTGTAAAATGTACAACATTTGTTAAACTATGGCTCTTAAAACCCTGACTTGTCCACCCCTTTAAAAAGAAAAGCTCCTAAATATTAAAAATGCTGAAATAATAATAAAATGTTCAACAAGCAACGCTTTGAAGAACGCTGATTTTGCCGTAGACCACACGATACTTTACAAGTTACTTTTTTCAATAACCCGAATTTGTCTTCAATTTTAAAGCCTTAAACTCGAAACCACAAACCTCAATCTGGCCCTGCCTGGCATAGCTGGGGTGCTTCTTAAGGATCTTGATCGCTACGATCTCATTCGTGCCCTTCTTCCACGCTTTCACTACCTGAAAACAAAAAGATATTCGGGATTCTAAGCCTAAAAGATTCCGGAATTCCAAAAATTCCGAGCAGTCAAATTTTTTCAAGTAAATTTTCAAATTCTCACCTGACCAAAAGTGCCCTTTCCCAGGAACTCGAGCACCTCATACTGGTTGCGGTACGGCGAGACGAGCACCTCGTTCTTGATCAACTGAAAAGGGGCTGATTGATGGGAAGACCGCTTTGGTTTTGGCTTGCGCTTAAACTTAGGCTTAGACTCACGCTTAGGCTTAGGTTTAGGCTTCGGATTGGGTATAGGCTTACCGGGTGTGCCTCAAATTTTATCCGAAGCCGAAAAACCAAGAATCCGTCTTTTAAACTTTTATACGCACCTGATACTCTCCCTCGGTGCTCTGCTTGGTCCGGCCGGCAGTCGCCTTGGGCATGAATTTGGCGGCGGTGGCCTGTTGGGTCGTCGAGTGGACGGCTTGCGGGTGAACCGGCTTCGGCGGGGCCTTCACAGCCAATGTCATCGCCGACCGGTCCTGAAAAAATGGAGGTATTAGTCGAATTGGATGTAAGATTTTAGTAAGGTTTTCGAAAGTCGTTTTGCCACCCTTTTTTGCCCGGCAGCGTTCCGAACAACTACGTATTTTCGTCAGGTTTTCGTCGTCGCAGCAAAAGCGCTTTTTTGGAAAGCTGAGCAGAAATTTAGTACGGTTTTATTTTTTTTCTGACAGATGCGATTATTTGATGCTTGAGCAAAGGAGCTTAAGGGCTTTTGAATCGTGAAACTGTCAAAGTCGTATGAAAAAAAGCAGTTTTTGGCGAATATCAGAGCTAAGTAATTTTCGCTAGTGGGCAGTATGATCATTGGCTTTTTAAACAAAACCCTATAGTTTTCGCATTAGAAATCCGAAAAAATGGCTCCGAAAAAGCTTTCGGTGAATTTCATTGGAAATATAGCGGCTAGGCTAATTAATTTTGCAAGAAATTCCAGTTTGGAATTCAGTAAAAAAACAGGCAATGATGGAATTCAGTGAGAAGCAAAACTATAAGATTCACGTTCCAAAAGTTCGATAGAAAATTGGGAAAGGATTACTTCCATAAATTTCTGACACGAAAAATTGTTGTCCTAGCTGCTTTTGACGTTCTGTACTTTCTCAGTTACAGGATTAAGGCGCTCAATCTCCCAAAATCGAACTTCCAACCCACTTTTTCTAGTTCATGTTCCTGCTTGCGCTTCAGCGTGGCTCTCTGCTCCTCGGTGGGCAGCTGCTGCAACGTGTCGGCGCCAAGAAGTACTTGTGTGCTCGAAGAACCCTGCAAAACAAAAATTGGCTGTTTAATATTGACAATATCTATGCTTTTTCCTATATATTTTCCGTGTTTTCACCTCTGTTCCCATTTCTATCGAGAAAAATGTTATATGAATTCTATTAAATGGCTTTTCTATATTAAAAATAATGTTTACCAATTTGGTTCAAATATTTTCAACCTTAATTTTTATTTAAACTCACTTAGAATTGTAAAATGTTGCCAAAATCCAGCCTTGCAGAAAGTTTGGAACCTCGGGAAAAACCCTATAAAAAGGAAAAGCCCCCCGCCTAATGGCCAGATGCGCCCGGGTCCCCCCACCTCTGAGAAAATCCGTTTCGGTAGGATTTTTTTTAGAATTTTCCAAAAATCGGTAAATTCGCAAAATATATCGACTCTGTCGTCTAATTTACATCACCGTGGGAAAGGGACCATTTGGGTCATTGGGAATTACGGGGGCCAGAGACGGAAAAAATCGATACAGATCGATGGGGTGATGAAATTTCTCTAGTCTCTGTTTTTGCGATTTCTGCTTGTTGTCTGCTTATCATTTCACTGGGTTTTCTGTTTTTCATGGTCGTTACTTTCTCAATTTTTCCTCAAATTTTACAAAAAAAATCGTTTCTCTACTTCTCAAATGGACAGATGTTCAGAGTGCCTGGGAGAACCGACCCAGCAGAAAAAAATGGGATTTTAGTGCGCTGATTCTAGGAATCGACGAGGGAATCGCGATTCAATCAATTTGTTGACAAACGTAGAATTTGAAGCTCGAGTTTTGCCATTAAAATATATCATGTGGTAGTTATAATCGGAAAATGGGAAAATCACGAAAAATGGTTGAAAAAGTGTAGCTGGTACGCTCATTTTGCTTAAAACCCCTTCCATAAATTGGTTGAGACGAGATGAGTGAACATAAAAATGCAAAAACTATATAATCCTGTTCAGTAAATGTAAAAATTATGCATCAAAGCAGTAAGGTATTAAATACACTTTTAGCTCCACCCTTTACACCTAAAAATAGTCTGAAGATTGCTCAAAAATCAAATAAAATAATCGAATCTGGACGCCCTTTTGCGGATTCGGAGGTATCTCAGGATTTAATAGCCAAAAAAACGAGCTTTCCGAGAGCCCGAAAAACATTTTTTACACCCAAAACTACTCAAAACACCCCCAAAAACCCACCAAATTTTCCGGGGGCATAGGCTGGGCGGTGTGGTGGTGGCGCTTCCGCTGGGCGGCGGCTTTGCGCATCGGCTTGCCTTCAGGGCTTGGCGGCCAGTTTTGCGAGTTGGCCGGTTGTTGCGCCGACTTGGTCTTCGTCAATTAGAGCCAAATATACAATAATAATAGTAGGCGGTGGCCGGTCTAGGGCGGAGAGGCCGGGCTTCAGAATCCGCTTCAGAATCCGAAGACAGACAGAGAGGCCTCGGAAACCCAGCGGCGACACACACACAGGCCACCCCTTCCCTTCCTCTCAGCCAGCCTCCCCCTATTGATCCCGTTGGGGCGCGACGCGACCGCCACGCGAGGGCGCTCGAGAGGGGGAGAGAGCGGGGGTGGGGGAGGTTTTGAGGGAACGGCCGCCCCGGCCGTCGCCCCAGCAATCTGAACGCGTTTCCCCCCACCGCCCTGACGGCCGCCCCGAAAAAGAATTCACCCCACACAGCCGCCCGGGGTTGGACGTGATTTTCAGGGGGGTCAAAAAGTTTTCCGGATTGAAGGGAACTGAATTTTTGAGCATTAATGGTAGATTAACCACCAGGGCGCTGGTCTACGCGAGAAAATGTTATGACCTACCGCAGCGTTGGGGCGAGAAGAATCGATAAAAATTGCCGGAAAAGCATTAAAAATTAAATCTTTGATTTAATGCTCAAATCCCTCAGCTTAGGAGGCTTTAAATTATTGCGTATAAGATTTCAAAAGCTTGCTTTAAGTGAATTAGGGATCATAGCCCGGAAAAATCCACTAAAAAAATGTTAGAATTACCAAATCCGGCGTTTTCGGCAAAATATCTACATTTTTGGTGCCCGCGAGCAGAAATACTACTGTATAAAGCTGATCAAAAAATGTTAAAAAGTGCAGTACCCGACACAACCTAATTACACCTACAGCAATTTTCACAGCGCCCAAATCAGGAATCCAATTTCCGGTTTGAAAGGGCACGGCCTAATTATCGCTCCGGAAGTACCGTATTCAGTGACAATCTTATCACGGGGAAGGGCAACAATAACTGGTTAGTTTCCGTGCCACAAGCCGTACTAAGAGTTGAAAGGCTGCGGTAACTCGCTGAAACGACTGCGAAACGGAAACGGATCGTTGCGTGCAGCTTCTTGATTGAATGGTTAGTGGATTACCGTAGGATTTGGGTCTAATTTCGTCGGCAGCATACTACCGTGTCCAGTCATGTTCCAGCGTAGGAATCCGTAGTGAGAAGATACCGTAATGTCCGATTCTACGTTCTTACGGACGTCCCGAATTCCTCTGTCCTCTTACTCTTGCTTTTTTTCTCTTGCTATTTTTTTATTTTCTCGATAGTCTTTTCTCGTATCGTCAAATAGCTCAGGGACATTGCGATTGTTTAAAACCAGTCCCAAGAGTACATCTAGATTTCCATACCTTGACCCATCTACTATACCCCCGATGCGTCACTCCAACCGAGACGGTCAGCTGTGCATGCGTGTGTGCGTGGGGAATCATGTGCTGATTGTCACCGGTGTGCTCCTCCCGCCATCACAGAAAGTGCTGTGACCCGGTCGGTGTGGCCGGTGGAGTATGCCGCCATGTTTTGCCCTGCATTTTTCTGCCCTTTCACAATCCCGCCCTCCCTGCCCGGCCCGGCTCGTCAACAATTTTTTCGGCGCTGCCGCCCCGGTCAGCGCTTCGATCTATCTGAGAGTTCGTTTTAGGGGTAAATCCGGAACTTTGAGCGATTGGGATGTACCGTAAAGACTGTCTTACTGGACTGTTAGCTTTGGCTTAAATTCGTTTTATATAATTTTCTCGCTTTTTTTTGTCTGTAAAGGGATGGAGACAGCTTGCGGGGGTGGATTTAGGGGGGTTTTAACTGAAAATTTATTTTTTTGTGGTTCCGGCAGTTTTTTAAAGGCGCCGTGACAGCTGATTTTGGACAATTTTTAATTTGCACCATTGGACCTTTTCAGAATTTCTTCAATTAGCCTTTTTAAAAGGCTTTTTGGAGCGGATTAAGGGGATTTCTACCTTTGTAAAGTAGGGTGACGAAAAAGTTTTCAAATTTATTCATCGTCATTTTATGATACTTTACAGTAGTTCCGCCAGTTGGCTATGTTTTTACTAAATTTTCTGAAGTAACATCCGTTTATTTCTACAAGTAAAGTACAGTATCCGCGGAATGTGTTGTACAAATCACAGAGTGAGCACCAGGAAAGCATCAAAAACTAAGAAAATCACCAAAATCTCTAGAACGCGAAAACCAGATCCGAGGGGATCACATTATTCCCAAGACTCTGAGCTAAAGACCACACAAGACATCTCAAAATCGTTCAAATTTGCTATGCAGGAAGTGCTAGAAAAGGACGTCGAGGAGAAACGGTTGCGCGCACTTGAAGAGATCCAGTTTTGGATCCAGCGTCCTGCCGAAACCCTCGAGAACCTGTAAAGCGGGATGTTGCGGAATATGCATATGTAAAAGCCGAGAGGAGAGAGAGTAGGAGAGCGAAAGAGCGAGAGTGCGAGAGAGCAAGAGAGGGAGAGAGAAAACATAGAGCTATCGATAACTTACCATCATCGACAACATCACCGAAGTAAAAGATGAATCGATCATCACATGATGCTTCCACAAAATCATGAACATGTCGTTAAACGTCTGCGTAACGTTTATCTAATAAAAAACCGTAGCAGAAGGTATTTTAAGTTCTTACCGTATGCTTCAAACTATCCACCCTGGCTTTGGCGACCAGTTTTTCGATATCTTTGCAAAACGCGTCTGGATCTTTGCATTGTTGGATCTCGGGTTTGTAGGTGAGGAAGAATTTACCGGCTTCGTAGCCCTAAAAAAAGTTAATTCAGGTTCACGACGGTGGTCTTAATATTGACGCTATTCAATATTTTGTATAATTTTTACGTTGATTTTAAGTTTTGCGCGGACCTACCTTATTTCCGATTATATATTTAAACATTTGCCGGAAGCGCTCGCGATTTTCAGGGGTTTGCGACATGGCGATACCTGAAGTATGACTTTAAGGGAGTTCATAGTTTTAATGGGAAGTTACTGGCTCGTACCTAACCAAAACCGACCTGCATCTAATAAAATCAGTGTCGGTTCGTCATTCCATCCCTCACGATTCGTAAATGCTAATTTCGGCTCCCCACGCCAGTGAAGTAGAGCCTTGGCTTCTTGCCAATATCGAGAAATTCTGGAGCCAATTAGTTCTGCGTGGTGGACTTCCGGATCTTCGCCGTCGTTAAATCTAAAGATTGCATTTTTTTGTAGAGCTTTATTTTTTTATTTCTTTAGCTAGTTTGTAGATCAACGGTATCAAAGGAGGCGCAATTTCCATATCTTTGATTTTATTAAAGGTTAAAACCGTTTAAAACTATCTTATCTAGCTTTTTTTACGATAGGGTACGATCCACTATCTAACCTGGACTACGTACCGTATCAGAATATTCCCCGGATGCAAATCGCCATGTATAAAATTGTCGACGAAAGCCATTTTCAAGAATCCTCTGGCACCCATCACGGCAACTTTATGACGTACTGCTTCGGTTTGATGGGCATTCTAAAGAGCAACCCAGATTCAATAAATAAAATTAAATGGTTTTCTATTTACCGTATGCCCATGGCCAGCCAATAAATTCTCAAAGTGGTCTCCTTTTTCAAAGGTTTCCGCAATAGCTCTCTCGTTGTAAGCCACCACTTTCGGAAAATGGACCCTCAGCTTGCCGTGTTCGAAGTTTTCGGCGAATTTCTGAAATGAAGGAAATACCTTACCAGGTTTCAAAATATAGAAAACTATTTCAATCTACGTAATAATTTTAAAGTACCTGCAACGCTCTTCCCTCATTCCTGAGATCGACCTGTCTCCGCAGTACCATTTCGAATTGATCCAGCGATCCAATAGGGTCCAAAAATCTGAAAAATCGTTTTATGATTACGTAAGAAAGTCTAGCTACCGTAATGGCGGATAGACGACCTGCGCAAAACCGGCCAAATGCCGGATGATCTTCATGTCGGTTCGGATCTGGTTTTCTATACCTTTGTCCGCCACCTAAAATGAGGATCAGCGGGCGTCTAGAGAGCACAATCCGTAATTTTTCCATTATATTTTTGACATTCTAACTATTCTTTTTCAGTTACTTTGAAGATTAAATTTATTCCAACCTCACTGAATATTTTAACATTATGAGCTACCTACCTTTATTACAATATCCTGGATTCCGCGTAGCCCTTCTACCGTATACCCGGCAAACATTTCAAGCGCTTCCATATCGACGGTCATGCGATAGATCTAGAATATTTGAATAAGACAGGTTTTTACAGCTTTCGAATTCAATGTCGTAATTGATACTATGTTGCAAGTATCCCTAGAAAAGCTTACATGCGTAATACAGCCCGATCCCACCGAGTAGGGACGAATATTTTGGAAAATTTCCTTTTTGTATTTTATTGCGTAGTCACCGAAAAGGCCTTTTAGGATCTAAAATTTGGATCCACAAGTTTTTAGCTTTTTACCTCATCGCACTCTCGGAACAACTTCGGACCCTTGGTGTTGGTGTGCAGGATGGAGAGCTAAATGGGAAAAATCGACAGTAAAATCGAGTGGCCTAATAAGGGTGTAGTATGCAAGAAAATTCACGACAAACTGTCTGTCACTGTCCCTTCAAAACGAACCCGGGTTGTGATTCATACCTTATCGCAAAAACGCTTGCTAAAAATATCCCTCCGAGTAGAAGCCCACTGCCCAAGTTTGATTACGGTAGGCCCGCTGCCTTGTAGGAGCCTAAATCAGAGCACAATTTCTTAATACGTACAATTTAGTATTCAAAGGAATCTAGTATTCTGGTATAATTTGAAGCATACTTACCATAACAATACTTTCCACCAAATATCATCTAGTCTCTCAACTCGACTGGTTAGAGGGTAGAACGAGAATAGAGGCACGAAACGAAGGCCAAGATAAAGCGCTCTAAAATTGTGCTAAGACTGTAGAAATTGTCATACCTAAAAGTTAACCGTAAGATCGTGTAAGTCGTAGTGACGAGTGCCACCGGAAGCGTCAAAAGTTTCACAAGGAGGGAAGAGTTGGCGGCAATTTGAGCCTAAATTTAGCACCTTTTGCCGTAAATTCCTGTGCCTTTTGCATAGCTTTGTAGTTCGAATATAGTGTTTTCCACGACAATCTATCCCTTCCCTAGGCCATAGTTCTACTCCATTAATGCGTCTATGAGAGTTGAGAAGCTGACAGTAGCAAGCCTGCACTCACAAAATTCTAGAACACCGTCATTTACTAACCTTCGTTTTCTGGCACCATCCCTTTAGAAAACAACGAAACTGGGTTTTAAAAAGGGATTTCCTCGCAAATAAGTTTTAAATAATTTTTACCTGGATTGGTACCAGTAGCCAGGGCTCGTGAAGATGAGCATAGATTTTTCTGAAATTCGCACGGCACTCGGCGACTCGAATGTAATTCTTTAAAGTGCAATAAGTCAGCGCCGAAGAGCCAGCCAGTCCGACAATTGTTAGGGGCCTAAAAGCGAAAAGTAAATATAAAAAGGCATAGAAATTACTTTGTGGACTTGGTGCCAGTCCGGCATAGCTGGCGGAAGAGCAGCTGACCAGGAGCCATTTAGCGGCTGTAAATAGGGAATTTACGGAGGCCCGGAACCGAAAAAGAGCTAAAGTTTTAAAAAGTTAGCGTAAGCGTAAAAACAGTTTTTAATTGAAAACAGCATTGCAAACTTGGGTAACTGTTTACGATACAAAATCAGAAAAAAGATTTTAGGAGCTTAAAAAATTGTAAACAGCATTTTTAAAAATTTTGAATTAGACCATTTACGATTTCAGATACAGTAAGTGTCTCATTGTTTCAAAAGCAACTATGAAAATTTTATAGAACTGACACCGCCAAGTTACGATTTAACACATCTATCTAAAATCATCACGCGAAAAAAATCGATGATGATGAATTTAAAATCGAAAGGTGTATTTTCTAAACCAGGAAAACTAGGTGGCATTCTCAATTTGTAAAAATACATATAAATTAATACAATAGGTCTTTATTTTCATTAATAAATTCCAAAAACAAGGAAGCTGACATGAAAAACCGATTTAAAAGCACATAAAAGTACATTACTCGGAAATGATGGGCCACCTGCTTGTTTTTCAAACCGATACGAACTCTGCTCCCACACGCACACACGCACACACGGTTTGCGGGGCAAACAGGTGGCGGGGGTGTTTACGGCTGAAAATAGCCCTCGCTCCCTACCCCTCTCGGCACCCAATTCCCAATATGGGCAGCGGAAAATGGAGATTACGGTGGAGGGAAAACTCGGGGCGCCTTTTAGGGGAAATCCGCGCAGATGGAACTTAGAAATTCGACGCTGCATAGATTAATGCTTTTCTTTTTAGGATTTCGCTTGGGCTATTTTGGCTAAACTTTACTACTACTACTACCCACTACAAAATTTTCTATGCGTCACCTGCGTATTGTAGCGTAGTTGATTTCCGAAAAGAAAGAAAACTTTTATATTGTTTCCTGTCAACGATAAGTTTATCATAAAAACTAAAAAAATTCACAAAAATACGAACAATTATAAAACTGAAGAGGTAACCCGGAATGGATTCGAGATGTGGGAAGAAAGTACCAAGTCTTTGGAGAGAGCTCTAGAACACCAAAAGACTATAGAAAATTGATTAGAAATTCTGGGAATATGTAGAAGCACCCGTGGATGTGGATAGCAAGTGTAAAAAGTTGGGGTATCCGAGCCACTTTAATGCAATTTTTGGGCAGAGAAACTGGCTGAAAAAGTGGCAAGGTTGGCTTTTCAAGAGCAACAAGAAACGAAGCTTCTGAAGCTCCTTAAGCTTTTAAAGCCTAGCCACTCGAGCGCATAATAAATCTTTAAAGGTTGAAGTTACATTTTGGGTAATCACCGGTTTTCAATAAGCTTTACGCGAAAAAGGAAAAATAAAAAGTGGAGGTGGAAAGGGCGTGTCTTCATCGATTTTTAACGAAGCTAATAAAATAAAATTACCGTTGGAATCTCGTTTGAAAACTGATGTGAGAATTTTAACGATTTTAAGATTCCTTAAAATCCAGTAAACACGCCCTTCATACTCAAAAACCCGTCAGAACCACAATCAGAAGCTCCAAAAACGGCAGATACGTAAAAAAATATGACAAAATGAAAATTAAACACAGCTTTCTAAAGATATATCGTTTCCCCTCTACTCGTATTCGGCCCCGAGCCATTCTCCCCATTCTCGCCGAGCAGCATGAACGACGTAGCATCGGAACGTCGCGTACGTTCCGTCGAGGTACCAGGCGGGTAGGCTTGGCTGACTTCAGTACGTGTGATCAAGGTGCTTCTGAAAAATCATAATTAAAAAGCTACAAAAAACCAAAAAGCTACAAAATACGCAAAGTACATTTCAATGCGTATCTAGCAAATACTTCGCAAAAGCTAATTCCAAGCAATTTACACGGCAGACCATATCCAAGAAGTCACACTATTGCAACGAGTACAAACAATTCCCAGAAAGCGTGCCAATGATGCGGACATTGTACGTCTACTATGCGCACGGGGTACGGGTTACGGTAGCAAAACTCGAGGGTACTGTACCCGATTAGGCGCCTTTTCATTTGGAGGAGAGGCACGGCAAGGAATTGGGTCACTGACTCGATCCTGGAAGAATCCCAGTTCCAAAGCGAGTTATCCGAAAGCATCTCTGCTAGCCTGCTTCCGGCTCGATTAGATTTCCGGCCCATGCTTTCCTCGAATTTAGCAAAGAATCTATGCGAGTTTCCCCTTCCACAACTACGGTGTATTACGCTTTTTAGCAACCATCTAGCGTATAGTATAATTCGTAGTCCTCAAAAATCTTTGCTAGTTTGCCCTAATTTCCTGTCGTTTTATAAAACCTTAAATTATTGAATGTTTAGACCTTGAATTTCGTGAAAAATCTCTGCTAGCTTGCCCTTCACTCTTTTAGCTAGCAAATTGCAGGTTTTGCAATTTTGTTGCCTCAAATGCCTCTTAAAACTTCCCAAGCGATACAACGATACAACACGTTACGAATACCGTACATTTCTTGGTGGGATAGACGCCCCGATCCGGCGACGGACAGCTCGATGGCAGTGTTGTTGCCGATAGAGGTTCCGACAACCCTGAACCTGAAAATGACACTGCAACGGAAATGGGCACGCCACACCTAATAGGCTGGTGTCGGGATCACAATAGTTTACAAAATGGGCTTGAAATAAACCGTGATAAACGGAAACTGTGGAAAAGTTCTTTGGACCTTAAAGCGTCCTAAAAAGCATCCCAATAATTTTCACACCGTAGAGATTACAGTAAGACGCCAGAGAAGCGGGGGTTCAAACAAAGAAATAGCGCTAAACCTTGCAGAACTCACTTGCAAAATAGGGCCTTGAACGTCTGCCTGAACGAGCTGGACATGACGCAGTAGATCCAGAAGTTGATCGGGTAGGTCGCCTAGAAAATTTGCATAACTTTCTTTCTCTCGCTCTCTATCGCTCTCCCTCGCTCTCTCTATCCTTATCTCTCCCTCTCTCCCTCTCTCCCTCTCCCCCCTCTCTCTCTCCCTCTCTCTCTGTCTCTTTCCCACGACTTTAAGCCACCGGATAATGAACATCGGCTATGTTAATCCATCTGGAAACGCCGAAAGTACCCCAGGTAGGTCAATCCCAAAAAGTACTTTTTGGCTTCCTGGCCGAGACTATGTATATCCCAGTGCTAGGGCTCAAAAATCGACTGACCATGACGAGCATGTTGTTCACCAGCAAGAACACGACCGGAAATAGCCCGTCGAGGATGTGGAGCCGGATCTTGAACGTCTCGCAGACGCACAGGATCCCCATGAAAAAAGCCTAAAAAGCGTAGATTTTGGAATCTGCCCAAAAACACGATCGGTACGCTAGCTGACACTTTTTGGGTGGGTCTGAATCCAAGAAATCAAAACAGGGGAGGTTAGCAAAGATGCTTTGATCTTTAACACTAACCTGCGGCAAATTCACGACCAAGAATATCGTCACAATTATCACCAACATCACGGAAGTTGAATTTGAATCGGTCTGCTTGGCGGCTTCTCGCGGTCTTCTCTCGCTGAAAAATACAGAAATTCAGCTACCTCCACGCACTAATGAACGCTAAAAGGTGGCGAGCAAAACCCTTTCATGCAAACTAGTGGGTTGGCTGGGTTTGGTGACCTAAAAGTTTAAAAAGTATTTTGCTAGCTTTTTTGATAAAATTTAGCTATATTTTGCGTCAAAAAGAAACGAGAAACCGAGAAAAAGATTCCCCCAACCCCAAATCGCGCGAAAACACCCTAAAACTCGCGCGAAAAACCCACCAACTCGCCCAAAAAAGCCCTAAAATTTAACATTTAAATGGTTTTGAGGTTTCCCTAGATAGTTTTCTTTGAATTAAGTTTTTAATGAGGATCAAAAACTCCAGTAAAAACCTAAAAAATCACCCCCAAACCCAGCCAACCCGGCAGAAATTCCACACTCTGAAGAAGTAGAGAGAGAGAGAGTAAGCGAAAGAAAGCACCCGGTAGCGCTAGCAAAAAGGATTATCAGCTAACAGTAGGCAGCACACTAGGCAAAAATAATAAAAACAAAAATTACCACTCAATCGTGAAATTTTTACTCCCAAGCCTAGAAAAAAGGGGGTGCAAGTTGATGACCAAAAAAAAGTGAAAGAAAGCTGACTTACCGTAGGAGACGATTTTTCCGTTTCTCGGCCTTCCGGATGCCCTTGATGAGGAGAGCGTTGAGGATGATGAGTAGGATTGAAGGGATGATAATGAAGAGAATGGCTCGGGTCCAGAAGTACAGGTTGTAGTATGTATTCATCCCGACAAGTTTGAGGACGTAGGTATGTCCGACGAGGCAGTTTCTAAATAAAAAAGGTAGATTTTTGCGATCTCGTGCAAATCCAGCCTAGCGTCGCGGTCAAGGGGAACAAGCTTTTCTTCGTGCGGTCGCGTCGTATCAATGAGGAAAAAATTCGTCGCGTTTGAAGAAAACCAGATTTTCAGGCCGTGTACGATGCTGTACTGCTGCATTTATGGTATGGTTTTTTATGGAATTTTTCAAAATTATATTCTGTGTTTTTTTTGTGATTTCTTGCTGTCCCGCGCCCGCTCCCTAAAGCGGACTCAGCTTATTCCGCCTTTTCGTGAATCGATTAGGCCATGAAATTCTGCATTTCTTACCTGGTATAGCTCCATCCATCACCCTCAAATATCCACCCTTCGTAGAGCATATAATTTAAATCGATTGATTTCGGGAACCCGCAGACCAGCGATACGACCTGAAATTAGGTTTAACCCATTACGCGATCAATTTTTTCGTATTTTTTAAGCTTAAAATTGGACGAGAAATGCAGAAAGACCTAAATTAACTTACCATAATAATCATCGTGGCCAATCGAACATTTTTGACGCTACATAAATGTCTCGAATAGAATGGGTAGCTGATGGAGACGTATCTGAAAAGTCATGTAATTTTTCGTAGGGTTTTATTGGGTCGTAACGGTACGGTAACGTTATTTATAACAATACGGTAAATACACTAAATTTCATACCTTTGCGTTGCTAACAACACCGTCAACCACATAGCAATATTGTGGAAAATCGGCGGGATGGCGTCCATCGAGAATTTTGCCATATAGCACCACCAGATTTCCATGTGCTCTGTTTGTCGATAGTTTCTAAACAGAAACTTTGGTATATTATTTGGTAACTGTATATTTGATTTAATTATTATAAAAAGGTCTCGATCAAAAAACGAACCCCATCGTAAAATAAAATAGTGTCCATGGCAGGGGCACGAGGCCAACGAGGAGGTCAGCGATGGCCATGTACTAAAAAATCATTTTTTAAAATATAAAATCAAAACCTTACTCGTTGAATGGAGAAGCTTTTTTATAATATTTCAATAAAACTTTTAACATACCTTTAAAACAACATTAGTCGGTGAGAGCATGTGCTTTTTCGATAAAACCACAGCTACCGTAAGATTGGCAATGACGACGAGGAAGATGAGGACTGGGAATATCTAGAAGGGATGGGTTGGATCTGACTTTAAAAGGGATTGAGGCAACGAGTGAACGTCTACTGACCTTGCCGTAGATCACCTCCTCGAGGTCGATGTGATGATGTAAACGTAAAGCATATTTATCACTTATGCAGGTCTTGCCACACCGGTCGTAGAACCCGCCGGTTTGGTCTGAAAATCAACTTGTTCGATTCTTATTTTCTATATCTCCAATTCCTGAAAATCCCAAAGTTTCTCTGCTTGTTTACCCGATAGACGCACTAATTACACTAATACCTTTACATATTAGAGACAAGAAACATACTAATGCAATTAATCGCGTCGTCGAGGTACTCCTGGAAGAACTTGTCGCCCGTGGGCGCCGACCCGTTCGGCAGCGGCGACGGGCCGCACACCGGCGCTCCTCGTGGCATCTTAGCGCATCCTAAATTATGAAAATAAATTTGTTCCAAATTACAATGCAAAAACGGACGTCGAACACCAAAGAAAGTGGAGCTGACGAGCACAATAGAAAGATCCTCTCAAAGACTTGCAAAATCCGCCACTTAACTGTCAGAAAATTGTAAGACGGGAAAGAAAATGATTAGAGCATCGTTTCCGGTCTATCTGCACTCTAATCAAAACCTTCAAAACAAGTTACATAATAAATGAAAAGGCGAGAGGAGGAACCAGGCGATGGCCATTTGGGCGGATTAGCCGCATCTCAAGTCACCACCCTCGCACCTTTCATCATCTGGGGTTTAACTACCCGAAAAATTCCGCCGAAAAGAAGATAATCTTTACACCCCCGGTGATGCTTTTTGCTTGTTGACAACACTATCGAGTGGATAGTTAACAAAAAAAGACGCAGAAAAAAGTGAATACAGCGCAAAAAATCTGGCGAAAACACAGTGAATATCAGGGACTCCCGTGATCTAAAGGATTTGGGCTTGGCCCGAAAATCCGGGGCGACCATGGTAATATGGCGATTTGGAAGAATTGGGTGGTAATCTGCTAAGGAACTTAATAAGAAGTCAGAAAAACGCAGAAAATGCGGGCTCGTGGCTGAAGAGTTAAATCTACTTCCCAAGATTCTAAAATTTTTAGGATCATTCAGTCCCCTTTATCACTTAAACTAGCATAAATTGATTTAGCATAATGCTAAAGGCTGCGAAAGGACATAATTTGATGGTATTTTGTACTTTTGTAAAGCGACAACGTAAGATTATGTGGAATTCTAAACATTTTAGTGACCGGTATCCGATTCTTAAAAAGCAGTTCTTAGAATCTAGTTTACAACTTAATGAAAATTAACAAAATTAGCAAAAAGATACAATTTTAAGAGAAGACGATCTATCAAAAATAATGCAAAATGCAAAATTATGAAAACGAGTAAACCACTAAATTTTCGATAATTACGATAAGCGCCTAGACAATCGGAGCGCCTAAACATTAGCCAAAATCCGGAAGATATTGGGTTGGAACGTAAGTCTCTGCGCTTTTTTCAAAGCCTGCTGCTGGTCTTATTCGTAGACTTTGGAGCAAGTGTTATATATCATTCGAAAGAGCTTTCTTTTCTCTATCAGACACTGGCATTAGTTTATTTTCTAGGTTCACATTGCTCGAAATTACTGGGTTAGAATGAAAATCGTCGCGTTCCTTTGAGCGCGATTTTGAGCACGATCGCTAATTATTTTTACAGTTGTCCTATTGCACTTCGGAAAGTTTTTATTCCTCTTCCTTTTCATGTAATTAGTTTATTTTTAAATAGCATTTCACTAATTTTTAACAGATCGAAAAATTGATCAAGATGCGCCCTTCCTTCACTTGCTAATTTCTGCGTCAAAAACAATTATTTAGCACATCCCAAGCTTTGCTCGACTTTCTGCCTATTTAGAAGAAACTACAACGTTCAGAATCAAACCGAGACGTCTTGAAATTTTCATGGAAAAACATCAACCAATGAGAACTACTGAAGTTTGCGATAATTTGAGCCCGGGTTTAGCGTAGACAAATCCATAAACCTGTTAATTTTTGGCAGCAAGCTGTAGTCCTACCGGGTAAGTACGTAATAGATCAAATTTGATTCGATACTTCGGTAGGGAAAAATTCATGGTGCGGTCGTCGAGCCTTCGAGGGTCATTTTCGTCGCTACTTCGTTCCCCGAAATTCATGCGAAAGTAACGCCTAAAGTGTGCTGCTATTGAGCCTTGTATGCAAGAATGCCTTCTAATGGTAGGACACAGCAAAAGTCGGACGCGCGAAAATTGACCTCGAAAATACGCAGAGACTTACGTTCCAACCCAATAGGTTTTAAGGTATGTCTGTACTGTACTGACAACGAGGCGTATCTCGTCCTCAAAATTTTTTGAGGGCCATCATCCGCTTCTGCCCCTCCCAATGACTCACCTAATGTTTGGGGCAAAGATCCGGGGCTAGGTCTAAATCACGGAAAACATAAAAAGGAGGGATTAATTGCCATCAAGGGGCAATGTCCATTGGAATCTATTGGAATCGGGGAGTGAGATCCCAGCTACCTCACGTGCAATAATCCCATTGTTTTGGGCCGCGGCGGGTGGTTTAGCGTTGCAAGCGTCAGTTATTTGGCATTTTTTCGAGATCTCCGATAATCCCAATTAAAAAATGTATCTCCTCGAAAAATATGAAAAATGGGAACAGAAAAATTGCATAAACAGAGCGCCCATTTTTTGAAGGGTTGTGTGGGTGTAATTGGCCAAATCATTGCGATGGAGTGCTCGTTTGGAAATGTCAGATCCGGGGGATTCTAAGGGGGATTACGGTAACTAAGCCAACTATTAGAAAAAGGCGTTTGGGTGCGCGATGTTCTACTGCTCAGACTTCCTTGAAAGTATAACTTCGAGAGAGCGAGAGAGAGGGGGAGGAGAGAGAAAGAGCGAGAGAAAGAGAGAGAGAGAGAGGGAGAGAGAGAGTGAGCGAGCGAGCTATAGGTAGGAAGAGTAAGCCCGCGTATGAGAAATCGAATCGTTTGCCCAGAGAAACAGGGCGGGCTGGAGATAGGGAGGTAGAGGAGGAGAGAGAGAGATGACGGAGCATGAGATCCTTCTAATACCCCTTAGCCGCTCCCTAACTTGTTGCAACTCATTTTTTGCCGACCCTCCGAGCAGAAGCTCCCCAAATATCGGATCACATTCGGCAAGGTGACCATCGGACACTTCATATTAGCTTCCCTAAAACTTGCGCCCCCTAGCCGCTAATGAGCATCGGCAGCCAAGGGCCAGAAAAAAGCGGCTTTCGCTTGCCCCAGCAAGCCGGGGGTGTCCAAAGCTTTCCGATTCCTTAGGTAGGCAAATAATTCCATAGCTTGGGTATGAGAAAAGTCGGACCAAGAGCTGGCGGAGGGGCAGCTGTGGACCCAGGTGGTAAAGGGTGGTAACTGCTCCCGGCCGTGACCGATCGTTTATGACAGCTTGAAAAAGTGGAATCGGGTCGGTGGAGGTGGAGTTTTGTGTAAACTTTGATACCATAGGCCGAGGAACCGGTTACTTAGGTTTAGGCTTGGGCTTGGGCTTGGGCTTAGGCTTGGGCTTAGGCTTAGGCCTGGGCTGAACTAAAACTATCCGAATCTCATCACTTAAAATTTGTAGAAAACTGATAAAGCCAAACCCTGCAAACTGGTCTCGCAAGGCCACCACGCCGACTGCTAATCCGCGACCTGACCGGACGCCTAAAAAGTGACCTTTTTGGGATTGGCCGGAAACAGAGAGACAGCGAGAGAGAGAGGGAGCAAGGGAGAGATAGAGAGAGAAAGAGAGACAGGGAGAGTATAAGAAGTGTTTTCGATCCGATCAAATATTTTTGGACCTTTCACGCAGGGGAGGCATGTATCCTAATCTTGTTCGCGTATGGGGAGGATGGTCAGACTCGCGAGAGAAAAAGGATTGGGTTTAGTGGTCCGTGAAAGGGTGCGTTTTTTCAGGATACACAAGTCCATGCATGTGTTGTATATGCTGTTGAATGGTGTCTGTCTCATTTAGGGAAGGTCTGAGACTGGCATTAAGGTGTCGGCAATCCCAAGGTTCAACGAGGAGCTCCAGGTGCTGCAGAAAGTTCTTAAAGGTCCCGTGAAGCCATAAACACCGACTGGGATCTTGGAAAGACCAAAAACGTGCGAAAACTAGAAGCCGTATAAGGACAAGAAACAGACCAGTAGAAACAAAACATTTCGAAAAAATCTAGGATTTCCGAAATTTTGCTGGATGATAGTTGAGCCCGTACGAGGGGGCACCGGGGCACGGGGACCGGACGTCCCCGAAATCGGTCGAGGTCCGAAAGTTCATAAGGGGGACCCTTATGTTTTTTCGCAAAATTTTCAGCCTGCGGCGTGTTTATCACTGTTTCGAAACAATTTTGCTTCTCGAAACCTATTTCTAAATTTTTCCCCGGCGCCCGTTTGCATTATGCACCATTTTGATTAACAAAATTCGCTTGCGCGCGCCTTTCCGATGTTTTTCACACGAATTTAAGCGGTACGAACGCGTTTCTAATTTTTCGCCTGTGGCGCTGTTATTGTCGCTATTTTCGAAGGTTTTGAAAGTGGCGACGGGGGAGGGGGTCCCATTTTTTGGGTGGGTGCCCCCGAAATCTCGGCTCCCGTAGGGCCTGGTTGAAGGTTTAGATGCGATTTAGGGTTAACAAATTTTATCTACACGATGAATTTAATTTCTCCGAAAATTTGTATAAATCAGCTTTAAAGGGAACTCAAGGCAGCCTATCGACCGGAACCTACAAAGAGGGCAATTTTTATCAAATGATGAAATTCACTAAAAGTATGTTAAAATTTAAACCCGAATTGACGAGAACTATTATGCAAAAATTTACAAAAATTTATTACGTTTAAAGGGCCACTAAAGCCATCCAAGGCTAAAAACCATGCCACTCCCGTGCTGAAAAAAACGCGCAAAAACGTTCTCACCCCATCCTGGCCCCCGGAGAAGACCAACAAGCCGCCCAAAAGGTCCAAAACCAGGAGGCAATCGGTTAGGAAGGGGGGAGAACCCGAAGCGCGGGAGGGCCCCCAACAGGGCCATCTGGGCCTCCAGGTATTCAATGACACTGCCCTAGCGGCCGGGCAAAAACGCCCAAAAAGGGTCCGCCAAGGACAAAGCGCTGATGAATAAGCAACCATTGGCTAGATGCCCTAATAGGTCTTCGGGGGAGGTGGGCTTATTTTCGTGCGTGGGTGAGACGCATGTTTCTGTGTTTTTGCAGGGCGCCTAGAGGATACCTTAAGCCTCATGATTAATGCACATTTCGGATTAGGGTGCAGCATCGGTGTTGGTGCATTAATGGTAGCACCGAGATTTGAAATAATGACGAGTAGGTTAAAACCTAAGCTATTCGCGGAAGCATGTAAAGGAACCGCCTACCAGGATAATAGTTTTTTGAGTTACGA